AACATGTCACAACTGTGACTATAGCAGACTATTTCTATATGCTACAAGCAACATGAACAACATTTTAATATTTCAAAATGATAACTGGAGACAAGAGCAAGATTCAAGATACTTACCAAAAGTCTTTGGTATAGTGAACTAATAACGTTGGTTATTCACCCTGAAATACAAAAAACCTTCTAAAAACTTTTTTAATTTTGCCCAGATTACAGTGTGATGTTGTTCTTTTACCTTCTTTTCCCTGTGTTAGTTTTCCCTACTTTCTTTTCACTAAAGCTTAAATGGGGATGGAGGTAGCATTTTAGATTGATGGCAAAGCAACTCAGACAGTTGGTGAACAGAAGTGTGCTGAGTGCTCTTAAAGTGGCACATCAGGATCAGTTAATACACCACAGGGTTTACCACTCAGCCTGTATAACAGCCATATAATGTCTTCTGTGGCTTTGAAGGGAGCTTTCCAAAGACTTAGAGAATAAACCTAAGGATGTCATCAGAGTTATTCCATCTTTGACTTGGAGACATTTAACAGACGTGCTGCATTACGCTGTGGTCGTGTACCAGCAGGTTCTAACGAAGGGATGCTTTTGAGCTGCGTGTGAAGTGTAGGAGCCAATGTTTTTCGGGCTTGGCCCATATTTAAACTAAAAGTCAGGATATCTCTGCTGATTGGATTTTTGGCAGTTCTTTTTTTTCATTTCTCTCACAAGTCCCTCAACATCATCAAAGTCCTAATCCAAATTGCTGGAGTACGTCTTTAAATTGTCTGATGCAAGTCTGGATTAACAGCTAAGCAAAAAAGGAAACTGTCCAACAGCTCCAGATCCCTAAAACCAGCTGGTTTACTGTCTACCAGTTGGTTTTTGGTACAATGGTTAAGTGCAAAATGTGTTTGGGAATTTGCATCACTTTAATGCAATATCATACTTACACTATTGTTCTTATACAGTTTGTGCATAATCTTAAAAGAAAGTTGTGTTTCATCAAATATCCAATTACCATAAACTGAAATGAACAAATTGTGGGGTTTGTGATTGGGGCACAACATGTATCAAATTTTTCTCTTTGCCCAAATGAACCGAACCACAGGTGTGAAAGTGCCGTGAGAGGAGGAAGGGGAGGAAGAGGAAGTAGTACGATCAGTAGTATGATCCATTTTGAAGCCAACAAACCCTGTCCGAGGAGTTATGTAAGTATAGATCTAATTCCTTCATGAGCTGGAGATGATGGTGCATCTTCTGTGGGTGTGAGTACAGGTAACGTGTGGTGTTACCTCTCTGCCTTAGTCAGATTTCCTTCAGATCAGGTTGTGCAATAGTCAGGTAATAGAAGAGCAATCGTATACATTCCGGTGGACATTTTGCTGCAATAGCAAGCAGATCAGGCTGATCAGGCAACCTCCGCATACTTTAGTTTATTGTACGTCACTGCTCCACCTTGCTGTCCTCTGTGGTGTTGCTATCTCTCCCTGTGCTGCCCAAGCTGCTGCACATCTCCTTCTATGGTTACCACTAGGACTATGACCAAGACTTCCCTTGAAGGCCCAGGATGGGATGGAGACAGAATATGTTACACCACCACCAAGGTGACAGATTTAAAATGTCCAACATTTTGTTTCTCCATAAAAACCTTCTTGTGACTCACCTCAAACCAAATCTCAAACTTAATTTTCAAAGAGCGTTGATTCAGATCAACTCAAAACTGCATGCATGCATGCATCCTGTGGTTAAGCAACTTCAATGAGAGGAGATGCAGTAGAGGTATGATAATACTGTGGCTTGGACTGGTTTAAGACACAGAGAGGTTGTTAAGTCAAAGGAACAGACAAAGGTACTTTTCCTCTTCCAGAGAATTACAACCCACTGAGGTGGGCCTCCGTTTGTATCTGACCATCACTTTTTCTCTCCAGCAGCCGATTACTTCAGTCAGGCTGATCCTCCTTCCTCGGACTTTACAACTACAACTTTGGCTCCTCAGAGATAATCTACTGCACAGTCCCAATCCACTCACCCACAGCTTGATTCCTCACAGTTTGTAAAAGTCCATCACTCCATTAAAAGCCAAACTAATTGGCACTGATTGGGAGTGGTTTTGGGTGTGTGTGGGGTAGAGGGACTACACTTTGGCCTCAATAAGCCTCCACATGTAGCTGTGCTGGTGACAAGAGAAAGCAGTCTTTAAATGCTCTGTGTTCAACTCTCACTACTTAAGCTACTTGTGACTGTAGGCGAGAAGACATACTGAGGTTTGTGTAAACAAGCGCACCTCCAACACATATTAAATACCTTCTACCTGCTGTGCTATGAAAAATCTATTACACCATGCTGGAGCAGATGCTCATGGCTGAGCTTGGTCTGAGTATCCCCACCCCTTTAAAAAACAGCAATAGTCTAGACATTTATGTTGTAGAATAAAATGTGAAAATGTCTAGAGCCTGTGTTAACCACAGACCTTAATTCAGCCTCTAACCAAAAACCCATTCAAAAAACTGGAAGTGATAAAATGCAACTAATTTCTGGGTTTTAGGACTCCTTCCTGCAGACATCTAACGCTAACAGCGGCAGCAAACATTGGGGGTCACCACATTAAAAGCTCAGTCACACTATAAAGTGACTCAGTGACATTCATCTCAAAATTGAATTCATTTGCAAGACATACAAATGATTGAAATAGGTGGTACAGGGAATCTTCAAAACAAAACAGTGTTGCCATGTTTGCAGGATCACAGAATCAGAAAGGAGGTTCATTAAACCACAGACTGTAAAATCCCTTTTCTCAACAGTGTGATGTTTAGATTCAGTGAGCAGAATTTTCTGTATTTTGATGTTTTCATCTGAAATGTACCTTGGCGGTTGTTGTTAATTCCTCCTCTTGTACTTTTGACTTTGATCAAAGAGCTAGAATTGTTAATGAATTAATAACCTACTACATATTAAACTGCATATACTAAAATGATTGATATTTTACTCTTCTCGCAGATTGTTTTGTCTTCAACTTAACAAAGGGTGAAGACAAACTTCACACAGTTTGTTGACCATCCTGTTTTCACTCTGACTCTGACATGAGACAAACCAGTTTTTTTGATAATTCAGACAGATGTTTGTGCTTGTTACCAAATCTCCTCCTAGTTCAGAGCATCTTCTTCCATTCATTACAAATATGAAATAATAGTCCAGAAGCACTTATTGATCAAATATTACTATGACTAATTATTACAGTGTCCACAGATGTAATCATTTGTTTTGTTTGTTTGTTTGAAGGATATCTCAGTTTTTAGGGAGCGAATCTTTCAGTTCCTGTTTATACATTAGTGCACAAATTAAATGGACTCTTTGATTGTATTGGGCAGCTACCAGTTCTGAATGTAACTGACTGAGTATGAAAAGTGGTACAAAGACATGAAGAGTAAGATAAACTGTACCTTGTGAAACAAAATGGATTTAAATAATAGGAACTCATAATTATAGTTTATGGGTGTAGGCTAATGGACATGTGAATAGGAGAGAACCATTTCAAGTCTAAGGTGATTTTGTCTACTAAAAGTGTTCAAGATTTAGATTAGCTGTTGTAAACTGAAGTTTTCTAAAGCAGTTCTATTTAATTAAAGGTCCCATATTTAACACTTGTTTTAAAACACTTGTTTTATTTGAAGTGTTGATCCATAAGAAGCTATATTTGTAAAAATAATCTCAGTGTATCTCCTCTCTCAGGCTTCTCTCTGGAGCTCTAGTAACAACAGCTCAGTGAGCCAATCAGAAGAGAGGAGGCTCTGAGCCTCTCTTCTGATTGGCTGAGTGTTTTTTTGAGTGATCCAATATGAAATAAAAAATAACAGATTTCAAGGAAACACTCAGAGAAACCAAATCCTGCAAGGTTGGATGGTGAGGCCTGATGGGCAGGGCTTGGGGCATGGCTGAGGGCGGTGACTGTTTTGTTCCAGAAGTCCTGACGGCTGGTTTTAAGGCTCAGTTTCTGAATACAGGCTGTGTGCATTTTTCTTTGGACTGAGCGCTTTGATACTTTGACAGTATTAATATAGAACGTAGACCTGCTTTATAATCAAACAATACATGGACATCTACCTTTATACAATATGGACCTTTAAATGGGCTATTTGTAAGTTTTCTCTGCCGCTGAAAGTGGTTTCTTGTGGCGAGCTTCAGCCATCTTTGTCTTTATAATACAAAAAGTTATAATACGCCCGCTGAGCAGCGTTACGTCTTCAGAGCAGACTGGAGGCTACAGTGCGTCGCTATCAGAAAGTAACAAAATGGGCCGAGGCTAGCTGGTTAGCATGAGCATGCTAACTTCAGTAGAAGAAAAGACGTGATATAGACAATAGTTAACATTTGTGTTGCTTTGATGCTAAACTTGCAATGTTTCTTCTAGACTGGTAAGTAAACAGTTGTTGATGCTAACGCTGGCTAAGTAGCGATAGCAAAACTTACAAATAGCTTCTTTAAAATATTTGTAAAGTTACCAAAGTCATACAACCAGTAAGAGAAGCCTACTGAACAGCTTCTTGGTTTGAACAGCTTCTCATGTTTTGTCCGGTCTGAATTGCAGCAGGTTCAACAGCTGAGAATTGTTCTCAACAATCTCACACAACAACCCACACACACACACACACACACACACACACACACACACACACACTCTCTCCCTATCATAGCACTGCATTACACTAATAAAGGCATAAAACTTGCTTTATTTTTATGGATAGATTAGATAGAAGGAGATAATAGGGTTGGACAATATCCCGTACAAACGTTGGTTAAGGCTGTACCCAGCACATTGAGCAACACAGTCTCATATTAGCCTCAGGGTAATGTTGTACTAATGCAGTTGGAGCAGAGGAACAATTAGATTTTCTTGTAAAATATTTAGCATTGCTGCAGCCGGTTATAAATGATTAAATTTTAGACAAAATAGACTCAGATAGAAACGGTCTAAATAAATTGGAATTCAGTGGATTTTCAGTTCCAAGGTCTAAATCCTCAGTCATGCTGCCGCTCTGCCTTGCTATCCTCGGCCTAATTTCCAGCTCTCCCTGCACCGCTGCCCCACCGAGGGACTATGTTTCTGACCTGCAGTCAGTTTTGACTACGTCCACCAGAAACAAGCTGCTGCTGATCTCCTTTGACGGCTTCCGTTGGGACTACGACCGAGACGTTGAAACCCCTAACCTGGATAAGATGGCTCAGGACGGGGTGAAGGCAGCCTACGTTACTCCAGCCTTCCTCACCATTACCAGCCCTTCTCATTTCACAATGCTGACAGGTAAAAACATCAATTTAGCATTTATGTAAGTAACTTATTGATATGTGACTCTATTGTGGGCTTAAAACATGGCAGTTATCATACTTCAGGCATCTACCAGGCCATTTCATGCACAGTACACGCTAAGTAACTTCATTATAAAGACATCTGGGTTTGCTTGTCTATGTGTAAAAGATGGTTAAGTTTATCTCCTGAATAAAAGAACAGGGCCCTACTCTGCAAATAGTGCTCACATGTGTTTTTGGTTTGAATGATTTAATACTTGTATGCATCGATCAGCAATTTAAGGATTTCATCCAGAATTCAACAGTGTGTATGTTTTTTAAACATCCTCCCTCTTCTTCTGTCTTTTAAATGCAATAAGTCTGAGTCCTGTGTGCAAGGACTTTTGTTTCCGTTACTAAGTTTCATTCATTTTGAGTTTTGTATTTTTTTGTTTTTGCTTCTTCTTTCATCTCCTCTTAGATCCTCACTTCATTTTACCAAAAGTCCTTATAAGGAATCCATATCACAACAGAGAACAAGCGAAGACCTGAAACTAAGAAACAAAGGGACACTTATTAGCTACATGTCTGCATTTTGCCTTAGCAGGTCCTCCTTATCTTATGTGAAGTCAACTAAACTTATCTAACACTGTCATCTTGCAGATATCAGCAGATATCAGATATCAAATATCAGTGCTGTTATTCAAAGGCATACAGAATGATGTGTACTTTCTCCGATGAGCTGTGATGGGCCTCTTTGCCTGGGGCCCCAAAGAGTCTAGGATCGCCACTGATGTTTAGTTCCACAGTAGTACGACAAATTTTTATTACCCACATACATCCGCTTTAATATTAATTCCATCTCAACAGAACTTAACTCCTGAACTCCAGAGATCCCTGAGCTCCACCACTTCAGGTAGCAGCTCTTTAGTTTCCTGTGTCTACTGGGGGGTTTTAGGGAGACCATGACACGTACAATCCCCTTTTGGACACAGCTATTTTACCTATTTCTATGAGCAACTTTTCAAACAGGGTCCATTGCAGTTTTGTGTTCTAAAACTTTGCTTAGATACAGATACAGTAGATACAGTGTTTTTTTTAGAAACATTCTCTTTTTCTCAAAATAGTACCTTAGAGCAGTGAAGTGAAGTTCACATGCATGTTATTAACACTGACTGCCTGAAGATGCTACTGAATACACTTTAAAGTAACTTTACATATTAAACTGTTTGTAAGCAGTGCCATATATTAAAATATAAATCTCAAAGCATGATTATGATTGTAGTAAACCACACAAAGAGATACCTCATACTCAGGATTGTTAATGTGCAGTAAACAGCCTACATCTTTCAGCTTTCTGTGTTTTTTCATTCATGTTACTGGACAGAAATTAACAGTAAACACTGATTAATTTACCTGCTGCTCGACGCAGACGGTACTCTGAAATTCATATTAACTTAAAATGAGGCAGTGATGGCTGCCATAAGTTTAATGAATATGCACATCATCTTGTGGATGTTGTGGGCCAAAACATTATAACCACTCACAGCTGAAGTGAATAACATTGATTTCTCTCAAAAAAATAAAAATGGTGCACGGAAAGGTAGACATAGTAGACAATGTTGTTGGGTGTCAGAGAAATGGGCAATTGTAAAAACCTTTGAGAGCTCATACAAGGGCCAGAGGATTTGGTTGGGGGAATCTTCTAAATGGTGAGGTTTGTGGGGTGCACACCAGAGGTGAGTACCCACTGACAGTGGTCCAAAGAGGGACGAACCATCATACGCAAGGGCAACGAAGGCTGTCCTGTCTAGACCAAACCAACAGAGGGGCTACTGTGGCTGAAGCTGCAGAATATTTTAGTGATGATTATGGGAAGAATGTGTCACAATAGATGCTTGCTGCATATGAGGATGCATAGCCGCAGACCTGTCAGAGTGCCCATGCTGGTCACAGTGGTTTTTAATAATATTTTGGCACATCAGTGAGTAATTGTGTGGCACACAACATGCACACCATGAATAAAATCCAAATCAGAAAATACAGAACCTGAAAATACACCATTAGAAAAATGGCATTTCGGCTCAAACAGAGCATCTCTGCGGAGATGTAGAACCTGCTGGAAGGACGATCATCTCAGCAGCCGATCCATCAATCAGGCCTACATGGTTGAGTGGCAAGAGTTGAAAAGCATATGCAGGAGTTTGTCAAACAGCATTTAAATGACTGTGAGAGAGGAGAGCAAACACCAGACACTGTTCATCACCTGGTTAATACCATCCCTACAGTGAAGCATGGTGGAAGCAGCACCCGGGGGGTCAGTCTCACTGGTCAAAATTGAGGGAAGGGTTAAGGCAGCCAAACACTGAGAGGGCCTTGAAAAAAACCTGCTCCAGAGTGCACAAGATCTGAGACTGGGGGTGACGGTCCACCTTTCAGCACAACAATGACCAGCCAAGACAATGCTGGAGCAGCTGGAGTGGCCCATCCAAAGTTCAGATTTAAAGCCTGTAGAAGCTCTGTGGAGAGACCTGAGGATGGCAATTCACAGACGCTTCCCATCCAATCTGAGGGAGCTTCAGAGGATATGACAGGAAGAACAGGATAAACTCCCTGAATCCGTCATGTAGAGAAACACCCAAGAAAACTGGAAGCTGTAACTGCTGCCAAAGAGGCTTCAACAAAGTGCTGAATTAACATGTTTTCACTTTGTCATTATGGGTTATTGAGTGACCATAGATGAGCAAAAATATATTATTAAAGAAGAATAAGAATAAAGTGTGCAAAAAGTGAAGGGTGTGAATACTTCCTGAAGCCTCTGTGTTATATGAGAGAAGAGAGATGAGTCCAGTGATGACAGATACTAACAAATCGATTGTTGAATTAATCACTTCACAAAGAACATCAGTGTTGATTTTGTGATAAAAGTTTAGTCTTAAAAATGAATAAAAACAATACAAACATCAATAAACCATGTCCTGGTTTTGGAGCTTCTTTGGATGCTCATTAATCTCTGCTTTTGGGAAACACCTCTTTATATAATTTATAATTATTGGAGCTTCGATGGTTTTGGGAAACAAGACATTGGTGTATTTCAAGCTGAGTCAGTTTATTGACCATAATTTGTCTCGGGAAGATTTCCTAAAAGCAGATCTCCACAGGGAAATGAAGCAGTTTTGAAGTGTTAAAGATCCAGCAATACTTAACCTGTGGCCTTCTGGATTCACAGTCTAAAAGAAATGTGGTTTTCCTGGTTTCTGTTCCTGCTATTTATGGTATGGTGATGACATGTAGGTGACCAATGCAGATGCATCCAAGACACTGGAACACTCTGACACAGCGATCTTCAGTATATCCTTGCGGGAGAAGTCCTCTAGCTTCCAGTGTCACTCGTGCTGGTTGAGGAGAAGTTGATCTTTTGCACATTGTACAGTTGTGGATCTCTTTTTAAATCTTTAAATGTAATCTATCAAATTTTACATGTTCTTCTTCTCTACGTACGAGCCGACCGTGAATCTTCTGCAGTTAAAAAGTCCCATTTAAACATGTACAAGTTTCTTTACTTTTTAGGGGTTTTTTTTATCTTTCATCAGGACGGCACATTGAGAATCACGGAGTGATCCACAACATGTGGTTCAACACCACCACTCAGGAGAAGAAGCAGTACTACATGACTCAGTTTGTTGATTCCTACTGGGACAATGGCAGCTTACCCATCTGGATAACAGCACAGAGACAGGTTCATTAGATCCTGCTTACCTTAAAATTTTCCAGTATTTCTGATTGTGTTTTCTATGAATGTCCCTTGATGAAGAGTGTTTGAGGAACTCCTTTCCGTCAGTTAATGGTGTCTTATCCTCTTCCAGGGGCTGAAAGCAGGCTCTCTGCATTTCCCTGGCACAGCAGCCACCTACAAAGGAGAGACGGTGAGGGTGAGGCAAGTGGAACCTCGTTTCTACGATCATTCCAACGAGACAGAATGGAGGCTGAACATTGACAAGGTGATTGGAAACTGGTTCCACCAACAGGACCTGGACTTTGTTTCTCTGTACTTTGGAGAACCAGATATAGCCGGGCACTCACATGGACCAGATTCACCAGAACGGCGGGAGATGGTGCGGCAAGTGGATCGTACTATAGGCTACATCCGGGACAAGATCCAAGAGCATGGCCTCACAGACCGGCTCAACATTATCATTACTGCTGACCACGGTATGAGTACAGTTCTGCGAGGTGGACTAGTTGAGGAGATCATCCTCTCTAAGATCCCTGGCTTCAGCTTCAGAGACATCCAGTTCCAACTCTTGGATTATGGTCCTGTTGGAATGCTGCTTCCTAAAGAAGGGAAGCTGGAGAAGGTGTACCAAGCTCTGAAAGGAAGCCACCCTCACCTCCATGTGTATAAAAAGGAGGAGGTGCCAGCTAGACTGCACTACAGCAACCATCCTCGACTCCCGCCCATCATCCTCATTGCCGACCCTGGATACATCGTCAATGGGGTGAGAGTCAGAGAGTGTATTTGAGTTTTGAGGAGCTGTGCATGTTAAGAGGGTTAAATATGGGTCTGATTTTCTATGGCTGAGGTATAAAAGTGCAAACACTACTTGGTGCTCTTCAGATGTACCTTTGAGGCTTTGAGGCCTTGGTTTCCCTTTACAACTGCTTTAATTTAAAAAGTTATTACATGATCAGGCATTGTCATCAGTTGTCTAAAGCACCAGCCTACTACTTAACCAAAATGTCCGTGTTTGAATCAGTCTGGGGACCATGATTCTCATGAGCTGTCTCATTTCTGTGTCCATATAGCTTTTACCTCTTAACAAGCACAAAGGAGATCACGGCTTTGACAATGAGAACATGGACATGAAAGCCTTCTTCAGGGCAGTGGGGCCTGACTTCCAGAAGAATGTGATGGTGGATCCCTTTGACATGGTTGATGTGTACCCACTGATGTGCCATCTACTGGGAATAAACCCAGAGATCAACGATGGACACTTGAACAGCACCAAATACATGCTGTTACCCAAGGAAGAGACAGGAGGAGACAATGATAGTAAGTGAGCACCATTCACTGATGGTATTCATGGAGCTGGCTCAGTTGTGGGCCCTTGTATAGAACATAATACTAAAAGAGTACTCAACTGATTTGACACTGAACTCCTACAGCACTGTTAATATTACACTGCAGTCTTCCTTTTTGTCAAAACCTGGAACCTAAATTACCCACAATGCAACTAAACTGTCAACAGCTCAGTCATAGATTTCTTAGGAGACACCACTTACCATCTCGACTGTGAGATGAAAGCTAGTGGGTGAACCATATTTTGTCAAACGTGACTGTGATGATTTAAGGTGAAATTACCATTCCTGAAATCACCTGATATATACCTGTAACTGCATTTTTCTTGCATGTTTCCAGTGGCAGTAGTGTTTAGCAAGAGTGAAGACAACATCTGAACCAATAAGAAAGAAATATTTATTAATAATAATAATAATAATAATAATAATAATAATCATCATCATCATACAAGAAATGTAACACAAACTGCTTTACAACAAAGAAATAGCATGCACCAAGACATAGAATTACCATGAAAACATGTTAAAATGTAAAAGTGCTGCCTCTCTGATATCTTTAGGTAGTGTGTTCCACAGCTTTGGGCTGTAACTGACAAAAGGCCAGTTTTCCTACAGCTGTTTCTGGGGACCTTCAATTAGCCAATAGTAGATGATCTCAGTGTTCTTGGAGGTCTATAGTTAACAAGCCTTAAAAAGCCCATTATAAGCCTCACACTGGAAACATTTATTGCATTTATCTCTTTTGTTTGATTGCATGATAACAGTTGTGCATTACACTGTGTCCAATGTTTGAATATCACATCCGTTGGACTTCCATAAAGATTATATCTTTCTGCAAAGGTAAATAAATTTAAGGTGGATTTGGCATCCACTGTTACCCTTCGGTGAATCAAAGAGGGAAGATAAGATACCCCAATCCAGTGATAGCCATCAGCAGACTTCAACCTTGACATTTGCTGGGGCTATATTACATTATCTAACCACTGTAAAGTTATATTTTATCAGTATGTAAAAGGTTACTGTTGTTTGCAAGATTTTTGAATCATGAAGGAAATGTAATGTAAATCTAAAGATTTTTTTCTGCAAGTTTTCCTGCCTGTTTTTAGTCTGTTGCTTTTTGATTTCCTATCTGATTTGCTGCCTCATGTATGTCTTCTGTCTTGTCTGCAGCTCCAGAGAAGAATACTCAGACGAAGGTGGTGATTGGCTTGTCAGCAGTGACGGGGTTTCTTGTGCTTGTGTTTGTCATTACCACTTCTTACAACATGTGCAGAAGCACTAAAGCATAATGAATTTGAAATTGATACATTTTTTAAAGTCAGGGCAAAGATTTTAGTAAAAAATTATCCTGTTCTATTTATTGCACAAGTGTAGAACCTGCTGTAGAGGAAGAGGAGACATTCTGTGATTATTGGTAAATGATTGAGAATTCAGGGCTCAAGGCTCAGTTTATTAAGCTCTGCAAAAGGAAAGACAGAAGTCTTCTGTATTGGTCAGTGTGACCTGAACAGTTATTTTACTGGGTAAATAAATGTTGTGCTACATGAACATTTATTTGGTGGTTTTAGTTCATCTTAAAGTGGTAATAAATTGTATTCTGTGAATAAAACAGTGATTTTTGTGGCTTTATTCTCCTCTGCACTCTCCCTGCATCCTGGTCTAATAGTTGCAGATCAACATATTTTATACTAAGTTGCATTCTGCCCTTCTGTGAGCTCAGTGTTAATAATGTCTGCTGCTGTAGTACTTTATCAGAGGGTTTTATTAAAGACTAACAAAATAATTCCCCAAATAAATTGTTGAGTCATGGTCTCAATATGGTCTATATGTTTGCATATTCTGTTCATCATGAATAATAAATAAAAATAAATAAATTGTGCCTATTTTTAACTCAAGGTAGGCCTATGTTCTATGCAAAACAAAACTCAATAACTGTTCTTTGAAAAATATTTCTAAATGAATAAATATTATAGTATCAATAAATAATTCTATAATTTTATTCTAAAACAATGCATATATATTCAGAATAATATGCATATTTAGGCAAGGAGCAAAAATTAATTAGTGAAACTTAATGTATTTTTAGTATGTTGCAACCATCCCTGATCCGATTATATTGTCATATGTAATCATCTTTAAATGTTATAGGTAATTAGCAGACGAATATATGTTTATATATATAAGTTAATATTTAAAGGTTTGGTAGGTGTAGTCCAAATATGTCTAAGTAACTGAGAGAAATGCAAAAAGTGTTGCAACCGTTCCCAGTCTCCCTAATGTAGCAGGACCTGCTCTCACACACCAGACAAATACCGCCCTCTAGTGGTTGCACATGTGACGTACCCTTTTAATAACAACAACAACAATAGCTGCGCAGTACGGAAGGAAATGAGATCCATTTACACTGCCCAAATTAAACAGGTAGCAAAACGGAACTGCTGGAATAATATCACTGTTTGAATATATTTGACGTTTTCACTCGGGACTGTTTGTTTTCTACAGCCACCGCCCGGAAATCCCACTGTGTTTTCACCAAGAAGATGAAGTGTCGAAGATGAAGAGTTATTCGTGCGCAGCCTTTCAGAGGCACTACTACACAATGCAGCGGGACCGAGTGTAACTACCGGTAATAGTGTTGTGCTGTGCAAAAACGGAATTATTTATGTGCTCATGAGTGCGCAGTTTTGTATTCTGGGGCAGTCTTTTAACGCGAGTGGGAACAAAATGGAGGATAATAAGCTGATAAGTTGTCTGGTGTGTGTGGACCCGTGCTTGGTTTAGACTGTGCTCATTGTGGGTTTCAGCGTGAATTAACTGTTCTTGGGATGTTTTTGCTGGACAGAGACAGAAGGAATAAAATGAAGTCACTCAGCTGAGAGAAACCGGATTTGAAACGCCATTACTTTCAGAATAAGAGCTTGAAGTGTGTCCCAAACTATAACGTTATTAATTAGCCTATGAACATCCGTTAGCCACAGAAGTAAAACAAGGAGAACCTGAGCCCACAAAATGACCGACTCGGGGGATGCAGCAAGTGTACCCGGCTGCTCCGGCCTCAGCAGCGGGGCCGGGCTGAGTCTCACCGCGGGCAGAGGACATCAAGGCACGGTCAGGAGTATGTCCTCCCCAACTCCACCTGTGAGACTGACATCCCTCAGGACCAGGGACTTGACACTGGGGGGAGCCTTTAAAAAACCAAAGGTAATGATTGATACACCACAAGGGTGGAATGTAATATTAAAGCACTAAGGATTGAATATTAAAATGAACATATCAGTAGCTACTATAGGGAATCAAATCAATAGAGGTAATTATAGAGGTATGAATGAATATCACATGACTAAAGTTGCCCAGCCCACATGAGCTTACAAGACACTTCCTACATCCAGTTCCCCTCAGAGGCAAGAGAAAACTAAAAGTAAAAGGAAGCAAGTGCATGGTTCTGTATACAGTATATGTATACATATGTTTATGTGCCAAAAACATTATATCAGATATAAACTGAATAAATTCAACATGTAATGCTCTCATATGTTGATGATAGGCATTTAGCAAAAACTGAGCCAAGTCAAATGTGTTATATTTTCTGTCGGGCCTGTGGAACAGGTACAACACCTCTGCCTGAGGTTCTCAAACTGCACACTGGCTCAGATGGTACAAATGGTCATAAATGTAGCGGGGAGAGAGTCCATGGAGAGCTTCAGTAGTTATCAATAAGACAATCCTAAAACACACTGGGAGCCAGTGTAAAGAGGATAATGTTGTCATTGATTTAAAAACCTGAGCTCTTTACAGATATTAAAGCATTACAAATGGTGTCTGTGTTTTATAGAGTTAGGCAAGATCATATTATGGAAAATGTTTCTAAGATAATAGAAACATGACCGGACTAACTTTGTGGCATGCTGCTAAAAACTGACAATACTATCGAATAAAACAGGATTTCTTGCACCAAGAAGGGCTTGTTTCAGTAGAGAACCAGCAGATGGCAGAGTTTGTCTTGTAATGTGCTGGGAGCCAGTGACAATGATTGCAAGGTCCATTGCCCTTGGATCATTACCAAGAAAAAGTAGAGCTCCCTTCCTTGATATGCATGTGCTAATGGAAGGGTCACTATTAAAATGAAACTGTAAAGAAGTAATAAGAAACAAACGTAATCTGTATCATCACCAACACGCGAAACACAGTTTAAAGTCATTTGTTTCAAATCCCCATAAAGAAATACTTGGTCTAAACAGTGTTTTCTCTTTTTTCTGAAGAAGACCTTTGAGCCGAACGTCCACGCTGTGAGGAAAAGTAAAGATGAGTGAGTGACCATTAATAAGATGATTCCAGTCTCCTGTTTCATAATGAAAGCACTGCAGCTTTTGCGCTGTCAGTATGTCGTGTTTAATGTTTATGAACGTTGTATCTGATTCTTCCCCAGGTTAAAGGAAAAGATAAGTGTGGCTCCAAAGAAGGAAAGAAGAGAGAGGGATGAGAGGAGAGGAGCGAGGGAGAACAGAGGGAAGAGGAGAGAGAGGCCTCAGACTATTCAGTCTCACTCCATCTTTGAACAGGGTCCTGCTGACACCGTCTGCAGAACAGGTGGCCACCTTCTCTTCTCTTTCATATGCTTTCTTTTTCAGGGAATTGAGGCACCAGAGCTTCAGTTACAGACGATATTACAGGTTCACTACTTCTTTCCCTCACAATCAATCCCTCTGTTCAGGCTGGCGTGCTGCTGCAGACAAGCGTGACTCCACCACCCCTCCTGTATGTAAACTTGTGAAGAAAGAGAGGAAAGATTCAGAGGAAGATGAAGATGAGATACTCAGTAAACTACAGAGGGATGATGTGAGTACTTCCTGCTATCAGCTATACCTTAAAGGATAGGTTCACAAAATTACAAGTCAGTCTTAAAGGTCCCATATAGTATAAAGGTAGATGTCCATGATTATATTGATTATAGATCAGGTCTAGGTTCTATATTAATACTGTGAAAGTATCAAAGCCTCAGTCCACAGAGAAATGCACACAGCCTGTATTCAGAAACTGAGCCCTTAAAATGAGCCATCAGGACTTGTGGAACTTTGTGATGTCGCAACAAAGCAGTCACCGCTCTCAGCCATGCCTCAAGCCCCGCCCACCAGGACCCACCATCTAACCTTCCAGGATTTGGTTTCTCCAAGTGTTTATCTGAAATCTGCCACAGTTTAATTAGCTCACTCAGAAAACAGTCAGCCTATCAAAGAGAGACTCAGAGCCTCTTCTCTTCTGATTGGCTCATTTACCTGTTGTTACTAGAGCTCCAGAGAGAAGCCTGAGAGAGGAGATGTAAAACTACATAGAGATGTTTTCTTAGTTCTTAAAACCACAAATATATCTTCTTATGGATCAACACTTCATATAAAACACAGGAGAAGAGGAAAATATGGACCTTTTAAACAATAGTGCCCATGTGGACATTGAAATAAATTGTCCTTGCTGTAAAGAGGGAATGTAGTACTAAAGGGCCGTCCAAGGAAAGTTGAATCAAGGGCAGCTGGATTGGATGAACCAATTTACATCAATGGCACAGATAACAAACCCACAGAGGTTTAATACCTGGGTCTCCTCACCAGTCAGTCAGAGCTGAAGAAGCCACTTGGATGAGAGGTGAAACGTCCAGTGTCCCATGATTCAACGATTCTTGGATAACCATGACCTGGATGACTGAGGCTACATCCACACTAATACGTTTTAGTTTTAAGATACATAATTTTTGCTACATTTACCCCATTCAGAGTTTTCAAGCCCCTAAAACGGAGACTTTTGCAAACACTGCTGACCCTGTATTAGTTTGAAACTCTGGTATAGTCTGGAAGGGCAAAAACTGTGACTTTTGGAAAACATGACGCAGACGTTTGCCTTCTAATTAGGTCTTTTCAGTCTCGACTGCCAGTGGTGAGTACAACATGATAATAAATTACAAGTGTTACGGACCTTGTTGTCTTTGCTAGCAGCTGTTGTTCAGTTACATTCTACATTTTTGTCTTTGCTGTTCCTTGTTTGTATTTTCTGCAACAAACCAACTGCAGAGTAGACTGCTTCCTGTTTACACCAGCACCAGCATGTCCAGTGCACATGAATAGTCATGTGATACCCCTTTTCAGGTGTCTTAGTATGGATGATGATTTCTGATTCTGAGCTAAAATGCTTGTCTGGATGGAGATCGTTTTCCTTTTAAAACACCATTTTAAAATGAAAACATATTAGTGAGGACATACCCTGAGAATCTTAACAGACTTACTTTGATAGTTTTTACTGTCAGAATGAACAGGAGGAATGATTATATCAAGCAAAAACAATATGATCATCAGACTGTTGGTTTAAACTGTCCTTTAAAGCTGCATTCATTGTTCTTGGCCACTTGGAGGAAGTGCAACAAGCTGAAAACACAACATTTCACACACTATGACCTCATGAAAATGTGGCTATTGTGCTTCAAAACTGTTAGCTATTTAGAAATGCAGCAGGCACAGAGCAACTACTTGTAGTAGGTGAGTTCACCTGATGAATGTCAGGACAATAGTCTCTCTCCTTTTAGCTCCGGTTTGTTCTCCTCCTGCAACAAAATATCTGGCTTCAACTGACACCCTACACATTACATATACATATCACTTGATCAGTTATTAATATATAAAATATTGATCAGTGCAGCTTTAAAATGAAATATACACACTAAAGCAGGGGCCTGAACTAGTGGAGTCAAATGTGACTGTTTTCTGTGTCAAATGCAAACAGAAAGCTGTTGTTCATTCCTCTCCACTGAAACTGAAGATAAAGTTCTTTAATTAATGTTGCCATAATAATAATAATAATAATTACCCTCATCACTGGTGACTGATCAGCTCATAACTAATATTATGTGTTGCACCTACAGTTCATAGATGATCCAGATCTCAGGAACGATGCCAGGCTGAAACCCATCCAGCTGCCTCTGTTTCAGTCCAGCAGCTTCGTCAAGAGTCAAACACTGTCGACCACAACATGTGAGAAAAACCACCTCTTACTTCTTCTGCTGCCACTGTCTGAACAACAGTGTCACATTACATGTCTGTTAACGAGGAGCTCATTTCATGGCAGAAATAGCCTGAAATATACAGCATTTAATAAACAAAATTCACATACACTCACAGAGCGCTTTATTAGAGGCATCTGTGTATCTGCTTATTCATGCGATTATCCAATCAGCCATATAGCATGTGGCAGCAGTGCAGTGTATAAAATCCTGCAGATACAGGTCAGGAGCTTCAGTTAATGCTACATCAATCATCAGAGTGAGGCAGTGTGATCTCAGTCACTCTGACTGCGGCTGGTTTGATTATCTCTCAAAATGCTGATCTCCTGGATTTTCACTCACAACAGCCTCTAGAGTTTTTACTCAGAATGGAGCCAAAAAACAAAAAAAACAACCAGTGAGCAGCAGCTCTGTGTTGATGAGAGAGGTCAGAGGTCAGAGCAGAATGGACAGACTGGTTGGAGCTGACCCCCCCACCCCCCACCCACCCCCACCCCCAAGTCTCCAGACCTGAATCCAGTAGAAAACCTCTGCCATGTGGTAGAACAGGAGATTGGCAGCATGAATGTGCAGCTGACAGATCAGCAGAGATGATGTGATGCAGTCATGTCAACATGGAGCAGAGTCTCCATGACATGAAGAACTGAGGCTGTTTGAGAACAAAGAGAGGAACTACCCAGTGTTAGTGTGGTGTTCCTAATAAAGAGCTCAGTGAGTGTATGAGCATCATGGCTGAATGAGTGCCAAATATATGGAACATGTGACTTCCTTGCCTGCATGATGTGCAGTCTGTTCTTGTGTTGAAGGATTTGTGGTTCTTCCTCGCACAGATCCAGAGAACCCTCCTCTGCTCAGACCTCCGGTCTGTGAAGATCAGGGTAGGGTAGGCCCCAGCAGGACAGTGTTGCCCAAACCAGAGCAGCCATCTCTGGTGGACCTGCTGCAGGACCTCAGCCTGTCTGGCAGAGAGGAGCTCTTCTTCATGCAGTTACCTGACTGTATGCCGGGCAGAGCGTCGGGACAGAAGCAGGACCCCGCTGTCGCATGTCCTGCACAGAAACCTGCCAAGAAGGAAGGCAAGGCTGAAGACAAGAGACCAGCACATCTGCAAGCACAGGTGAGTTTACAGAGGGAAAACTATAACTAACTAATATCACATGTTCTTACTTTTCTGGATTTGATGGCTCCCATCCTTTACTCTTTGTCTTATTACTGACCCTCTCTGAGCCCTTTCTTTAATTCTGGTTTTACTTGCTCTAGTTTTTTCTCAGCTGCTGGACTTTTCAACACAAAAATGCTTGTATCAGCCAGGTTTTAACAGGGTGTGTATCTGTGCCTCTCCTCAGCAGGCTGTGACGAAGGAGGGCTGTCCTGTGCTGTCACAATTCCCAGAAGGATTTCTGGGTAAACTGCAGATCAGAAGGTCAGGGAAGGTGGAGCTGAAGCTGGGCGACATCGTCATGGACGTCTCTGAAGGAGCTGCATTCTCCTTCCTACAGGTACCATGAGTGTGGGTGCAGAGTAAGCTGTTAGGTTCACCCACAGTGGCCTACTATGATTAAAGTAGCAGTGTGCTGTTCTTAGCTTTTCCTTTGGTATTGTCCCTAAGACCTCTGATATCAAAGGAGACAATACAAAAATCTGAGTCCTTAATGCAAAAATCCTTTAACCATTTAGAGTCAAAACAGAACAGTTTTGTCCAGAGAACAATGCAGAACCTATAGAGTTACTCTCTCCTGTGTGTTTTCACCCTCATGTTCGCCTCCTCAGGCTCCATTGATTTTTTCACTCCAATTCGAGAACTGTTTCCCTCACAGCAGTTCTCTTTTATAAGCTCAGTCAGTTGCTGATTCATGATTTCATCATGGACGTCAGGTTGTGAAGCGCTGAGAGGTTTCTGTGTCCGAGACTTTTCATTTTTTCCCTTCTTTGAAGGTGAAGCATGACATGGTGTCTGACTCCACCTGACGAGGACGTTTCCATCAGAATTAGTGCTGCGTGGTTATGCTGGTCTATGTTAGCAGTGTTAGCTTCTTTTGTTTTTGTTTGTGGACTCTTTTGAATTCTATCATATAAAGTCGTGGTCTTGATCGCGGAACAGCAGCTTAAACTTAACGTGATATGAATGAGGGAACAAGCTGAATGGAGCTCAGAATCCTTCCTGTGCCCGGTCCGCCATCTTGCCACCTGGGTTACCTGATTCCAATGGCTGCCTTTCAGCGAAGTTGAGGGCTGTGTTGCAAAATGCGTCACAAAAGCAAGATGGCAGCTCTCGTAGTTTCGTAGTAGACTTGAAACCTTAATAAATTAATTTAATATGCAACAAAAATGAAAAATGTAAATATCTCCAGATATTGATGTGCCACATTTTGTTATTATCACTTTCATCAAAATCTGTATATGTCATTTTTTCAATAATATTGTTTAAAAAAATATTTCTTTGGGAAAAAAATCTTTGAATTTAATCATATAATTTCACAAAATACTTTCTATTACTATTACTACTATTTATTGTATTTTTTATCCCTCTTCCAAACTGCTACCAAACCACTGCAGACTGTGGAACGCTGCCAGTGATCAGTTGGAAAAATGAAGCTGCTCTGTCACTGTTAATACAGAAACAATCTCCTCTTCTTCCTTCTGCAGCAACTGGTGTCTGTGCGTCTGTCTGAGGGGCGGACTGGAGACATGATGGTGCTGGGAAATGTCCACCACAAACTGGTCTTGTCTCCTGACTTCCAGGCTTTACTGAGACAAGCTGCAACACAGCAGCAAAAAGGACCCTGATCATGTTCTTATCTTCTGCACAGAGACTCAGCAGATCTGAAAGTGACACTCTTTGACACATGGAAAGATTTATTTTGGATTCTGTGACACTCCTGATCTGATGGCACATGTTTAGTTGTTACAGCACAGACCTCTGTCTGACGTTTTTAAGGCAGCTACTTCATTAACCTGTTGTTATTATATTTTATCTGTGAAAACTTTTAACTGGTTGTAACTTTTGAAAATCCTGTGACGGTAAAACAATCCATCAGAATTTGAATAACTCTCTCCGATGTGACGACACTGCCAGAGATGATTTGTGGAAAGATGAAAATTGCGACGTGGTGTAAATACGTGGTGACTCCACAATGACTCTGTTGTATACTGTTACCTGTGCACTGATTACCTTTTTATAGATGGGTGACTTCTCACTGCGTCAGTTCTACACACACCAGCACAGCAGACGATATGATTGTGAGCTTCACACTGACTGAACACCAGCAAAAGACATCAACCACATGTTGTAGCTGATTTTGGTCCGTTACAGGATCCACTTAGAAGAGGTCAAAGGTCAAACTTGTAATGAGTGATAGATGACAAGTGGAAACTCTCACCATGTGTGGATTCTGTAGACTAAAAGGTGCAAAGCAGATGTTCTGTTAGCGCACTGATAATGTACGTGATGCATTTAGACTTTGTAACATTTGTAGTGTTCAGTTAACTTAGAGTTGTATTTCCAGTCTGTTATGTTTGTTCTTTCTGCTTAGTTTTCTGCTACATCCACATCAGTTACTCTTTCTTCACATCAGCCCCACAGAGCAGCTGAACAGCAGCTGTAAATCCAGATGTTGCTGATCTCCAGTGGTAGAAGTTTTTATATATAAAATACAAACCAGATTCCAAACTGCCAACCTGTTTACTGCCAAAACCTTGTCATTGCACTTTGTGAAAGCGGTTTCAGATCATTTAATCTTGAAAATTTCAGGCTTTAAAGGTATCTCACTGGAGAAAACTTTTCAGTCTTGAATCAGCTCTGAATGAATGCAGATGCAGGACGAGACACAGCTGGATTTTTATTTTGGAAGACTGTAGTGCAGCTTTTGATACAGAGGATCGTGCCGTCCTAATGAAGCCTTCAGCAGTGGGTTTGTGTATAAAAACTGCTTTTAAGTCTGTTGATGGCTCCACATCATTGCTGTTCCTGTGTGTGGGTTTAAAACTAGAGGGACTGTGACAGGGCAGCATGGATGTGCTTTGAGGAGCTCAGGCTGAGCATGTTTCGCTTTAAATCATTTATTAAAACTCATTTTTATGCCTTTTATACTGATATCTCATGTTTTATACGCTGGACATTGTAGATTGTTAACATATCTGTTTTACTGGTTTTCTGCCTTCATTTTATTCCTGAATCTTTGTTTTTCTTCATGTTTAAAGAACTTTTGCATTGGTTTTGAGAAATGCAATGAAAATAAACCTTGTTTTTAATTTCAACTTTATTGCTAATTATAAGTTATAACATACATTATCTCATGGCTCTTTACAGAGTCAGGTCAGGACCTTACAATATTACAGAGAGAAACCCAACTGTTCCACCATGAGCAGCACTCAGTGAACAGGAAGAAACCTCCAAAAGAACCAGACTCGGGGTGGGGGGGTGGGGGGGGGGGGGGGGGTCTGCCTCGACCGGTTGGGTTGAGATTGACTGTTATCTGGTGTTGTCGGTACAGCCTGTCATCACTGTTGACTGTAAATACAGCTGCAGCAGATGTTCATTTTCACCCAGAAACAGTTTTCAGCTTGGTATTACTGTAATTACTCTTTGGCAAAAATGCTGCATTCATGACACGATGTAAATGAACTTGTTCATGTTTAACTGGGAGAAACAAAGTCAACAGAGTTTCTCTTGACTCTCCCAGGCACAACTGAAAGTCTCGATTCTGTAATATCTGAACTGATGCTGGGCAATAATTCAATAATGTTTATGGACTTTCCAGATCATATTGTGACGACATGATCTCATATTATCATTCAACAAAATGATGTAGTCCAAATTCATTAATGAGCAAGTAATGTAATTAATTAAAAACCTTATGACATTTCATTTACATTCACTGTAACAGAAATGTACTGTATGTTGATATAAGAAAAATGGGATCTGCAGTACAGAGAATACTATGAAGGAATAAATAGTAAATGGATGCAAAATAAATTCATTTTGGTAATTAAAAAATACCACAGAAATAAATGTACAAATACAGAAATAGCATTTTTTAGCAAAATGTATATTTATTTTTGCTTTAATGTATTTAATTATTCATTTCTGCATTTACTCATTTTTTGTCCTTCATAGAATACACCCTCTGTTGCTATTCTGTTGAGTATTCTTCTAAACATTGTGGCTTGGAATTTTTTAGGGTCCATAAAAGCTGTAGAAGCTTGTAGAAAAGTGTATGGAAATGTTTATTCAGTAAATACACGTTACAAAGAAAACACACTGTAGTCGCTGTCTGAATATGGCAGCTCTAAACACAAAACCGTCAATACTGAAAGTATGTTCTTCATTACTAACAAGAGTGTCATTTAACTAACATGAAGAGCAGACAGAATCTGGATTTCAGGATTGTTAACCGATGTTATCCGAGTTTCTTTAAACATGAAGCAGGAGGCTCATGACTTTAAACAGTATGATCACAACAAACCAATACCTGAAGGGGAATGACCCTTTACATCAGATACACATAATTATTGGATGCTGTGAAGAAAATTTTATTATCAACCATCAGGTATTTTGTTGTTTGTTTTTTTTTTTACAGCTGTTAACAGAACAAAGCGCATCATATGAAGCTCATCTGGAGTAATGCATAACCTGGAACTTTGTGTTTAAAGACCAAAGTGTCAGTTGATTATGTTACTTATGTCAGGATTTCACAGTTTGAGGTTGCGACTGTACAAGCTTATGCTACCGATGATTCAGTCAGGTTTCATTCATAGAACGTTGGTACCACCTGATTTTGTAAGTGCTGTAAATTTGTGGCCAATGGCCCTTTTCTCAACAGCAAAGTCAATAAGAACTGGCCAACAAGCTGCACTGTGCCGTCATTTCCTCCCTTGTGTTAAAAACTACAATGAGCAGCTGTTTTATGAAATTTACTGACCAGACTTTTTTTCTTAATAATGAAACTGTATTTGTGAGGTATTTTTTTTTTTTTTTCTTCAGTAGGAACCATTGGGCTTTGAGCTGAGGCTTACAGTAGAGAAGTCAGGAAGTACTGTGAGACAAACACACCGTTTTGGACTTTTCGTGGATTTGCTGACAAGAAAATAGAGAATCAGAGTAGACTTATTCTTTACATTAACACTCTACCAAAAATAGAAACGTGTGGTTTTTCTTGGGACGGCAATAGTAACCTTTACATTTCCCTCATGTTTACTGTGGTAACACTCAGAAAACTTAAACACTGCAGACAGTAAAAAGTAACTTTTCCTCCTAGAATCACTTTCACGCCTCACTCAAATGTCTAAGCTTTTACAATCATTCATTTCATCACTTCGAAGTCCCAGTCTACACCATTCAACCACTCAAAGCCAGATGTGTGTTTGTAGAGTGGATGAGAATAAGCTCACACTGTAGCTGGTAACAATCCTGTTCAGGATTCACTTGGTGTCATGTTAACTAGAAAGAGTTGTGACTGCAATGTTGTAAAATGATCTTAATTCCTCTGAATGCTGTGAAAGGATTGGCCTGTTTAAACATGAATGACAACAGCTCACTTTGTTTTGTTTTTTTGTTTTTCCTTGAAAATGAAAGTCACAAACAGAGCACAGGCCTATGTCGCCAGAACTCCTGTCTTCAGCTGTCTTCAACACTCTTTTTTCCCTCTAGACTCAGTAGATACACACATCCTATTTGGTGTCGGTGGTCTTGTTAGTCCTGACAGTTTTTGCAGAGCTACTTTTCGTTGTCTTCCTGGTTGTTTTGGACTTTCCTTTGGCAGTGGCCTTCTTCCCTTTAGCTTTCTTTGTTGTTTTCTTGGCTGCATGAGTCGGGTCAGCGAGTCTTTTCTTGATAGACAGGGTCTGCTCTCGGATCAGGTCTTCACGGCCAATGTCCACCATGTGCTCCTCCCACGACTTTATCTCATTCTTATAGCGAATTTTGTCATCCTGGGCCAGCTGTGTGTAGACCTGAGATGTGAACACAGAACATCTGCATGAAAGCCTTGTAAGTACATATAAAGGATATGTGATGTGTGTGTGTGAGATATGTGTGTGAGATATGTGTGTGTGTGTGTGTGTGTGGACCTGTTTCTGGTGGCTCAACAGGATCGTCCAGTCCTCCAACAGCGACTTCATCTTTGCCTGAATGAACATCAGGAACAACATTACATCAACGACTGTTGTTCAAAGCTTCGGAAATTCTCTTTTGCAATACAAACACATAATCGTATGTATCCCAGCCACATGTCATGGACCAGAACCCCGGACTGGAACTATGTTATGTTACCAGAGAGGAGGTGGAGGTGATGGAGGGTTACAAATACCTTGGAGTCCATTCTGAGAACATACTGGGCTGGAAATACAACATACAGGCTTCTACAGGGAGGGACAGTGCAGACTCTAGGTCCTTTAATGTGTGCAGCAAGATGTTGCAGATCTGTCACCAGTCTGTTGAAGCCCGTGCAATATATTCTTTGCTGGAGTTACCAGAGCCAAGTGACACCAACAAACTGAACAAACTGATCAGGAAGGCTGACTCTGGAGCCCATGGAGTTGGTTGTGGAGACGAGGATGCTGCACAAACATCATCCCCTTCACCAGTGCAGTGCAATTTTCCTTGCTACAGTCTGCTATCGCAGCAACATCAGACTCCTCTGACTGAAGAGTTTTTCCTTGCAAGGGACAAGAAGGGATGTCTACCCAAATAGCACTAATGTACAGTATATTATATTAACACCATTGTACTGTGTATATTCAGCACACAGTAAAACTGTGGGTCTATCTTTAGTCTCTATTTTCCTATTTTTTTTAATTTTTTTATACTTTTTTCTTTTCTTTCTTGTTTTTTTGACTTATGTGAAGTAGCAGCTGCAACACTGCAATTTCTGTCCAACTGTTTATTCTTTGACATCATGATATGTATGACATCATTTAAGTCTGATCAGTCACTGGCAGAGCATCCATCTACTACAGAGATCATATCATAACCTGAACTGTCTGTTTAAATGTCATGTCATGGTGCTGTGGTCACTTACCTGTGTGGTGGTTCCTCTGGCCTCCTCATAGTGCTCTGACATGAAGATGTTAAACGAAGTGCGAGGACGTTTGGGTTTTCCCAGGCTATTCAACTCCTGGATCACACACACAGTGAGGAGCACAGTTGTTGTTCAGCAATGTTGATATAAACAGGATTTAGTACTCAGACTGCTGACTTCAACGGGATAAGATACTGTCAGAAAAGTCAAACTTTTAGATTACTTGGATATCACAGAAACAGTCTTGACAGTGGAGCACTCTGGCCTCAAGCAGTATATGTCTTACTCTCTTCTTGCGGATTGCTTTCCTTTTGGCCATCTTCTGCCTCTTCTCCAGGGCTTGCTGCTGGACCTGTGCTGGGGTCAGCTGGGCCTGGTAGCGCTGGAAGTCCACCTTAAACTGCTCCCTGGCCCGCAGAGAGGCCTCCTGAAACGGCTACAGGACAGAGAAAAAGTCAACATCATTCTGACTAAACCTGTGTGTGGAGAGACTGTAAGACATTATGCTTGTGTTGTGTTACACTTATTCAGTATCACAGAGATTATCTGGAAAGTTCTTTAGCCTACACTTTATGCACTTAGGGCAACATTAAAGACGAAAAAGCATAAAGTACAGTTTATACTGTCCTACAAGTAAAATATGGAACTACCTGTTTCTGTTGTGGGGTCATAGTTCTCCACTGTTGGGCAACCTTCCTGATGATATCCACTGTTTTGATTTCTAAAGGCAAAAATTACAAGATGGCATTTAACAGACTGATATGATCTCAGTCCTTGACTTAAGATAGAAAAAAACCTCAAACTGTTAGATTACATTTCAATGTGATTTTAATATGCATGCTTCACACTGCTTATTGTTAAGTATTACAAGCTGTAACAACCCATATCCGTGCAGCTAGTTTATGAGATCAATATCTCAAGCTGCCCTCCACAAGTATCAAGCGTTGCACATTTACCTGGGTTTTGTCTGATCATGATTGGCTTCTGTTCCATAAAATATCTAAAATATCCATTCAGAGGTCTCTTTGGAGGGCCGCTGGCCTGAGAAGTCAGACATTTCACTGGGTTGACGTATGCAGCGGGGAGGACACTGGTACACCTGGAGGATGCGTATGCACACATACACATTAACATAAAAAGCGGATCTATTCTCCCTAGTGGAGAGAACTTCACACAAAACTCAAACATCTCTTTTTAAACTAATGTATGTGATATGTATCCCTCACACCAAAGCAATAATAATAATATTCTTTGAATAAATGGTTGACGTTAAGAATCTGTTTTCCTTTAACTTGTATAATCCTTTTACACTAAAAACCACTGTAGAGATATATTTTGATTGAGTTCACATATGGATCATATGTATGATATGGCCTTAAGTCATGCTTTTGAAAAAAGAACAGACAGCATGAACTGCAAGAGGCTGAAAACTAGTGCACACGGTAAAAGACATTTTAATTCAACAAACGGCCCCAATCACACGTGTATCACTTACAATGTAAAAAGTACATTTTGAATATGTTTAAATAAACAGCCTATATTTCTTGTTAATATTAACTCCCTAAAAGCTCATCACAACCGTTCAAAGCACTCAACACACAGTATGTTATCTAAATTAACGCCTCAAAACGTGGCTGTAGCTGACTGATTGGTTATTCAGTAAGTTGACTTAAGGACATACAGTAATTCACTTGTTATTATTTCCATTACTGTCTGTAGTCTCTAAAAACAAGATTTTGTGCAAACTTCCAGTAAACGAAGTGCCAAGAAAGCAAGCCAAAGCTAGCTGGCTAACTTAGCTGTGCTACAACTTCAGCTAGCTGATTCAGAGAGCAACTTAAAAGTTAGCTACCTTGCCAGGGTGCTTGTGCAGGAGAAGACACTGAAGGACTTAGCCAACAGGCTAACACTTGCTGTTAACACACTGAACGGAGCCATGTCGGTGTAAATTAACGTTGAAGGCCGTTAACTAGAGTAATGAAAGACAGGCGTATTGTCCCACAAAACCAGCGTGTTGTTATTTTCATGCATTAGATGTTTGAATTGAAGCAGTGCCTCCTCCCCACTCCTTCTTGACATGCAGGAACAGCAAAAGGCGCCCTCCGTCTCACCCGGTGGTTTGTGGGAAAAGGTCGAAGCTGTTTACTTCCGTTTCCGTTCTGTTCGTCTTACTAATAATATATCGATGGTCTCGTTTAATATTTATTACGAAACAGAACATGATATATGGGAATGATCTTGCCATATAAAATAAAACAATCCTAAAAAGACTAAATAAAAGCATTAGAACCTTTTTGTCTCTTACAGCTTGCCGTCCAGTCTGTACACTTTGACCCCTTCTTCTGTAATCACTGCACTAAGCCTTTGTAGGGCAGTACCTATACTGAATGTATGTCAGGAAAAAAAAAAAAAAATGTATGTCAGAAATAGGAATACAACTAGTCGAAGTGGTCAAAGTGAAAGATTATACAAAAACATGTTTCACCATCTGTTAGCTCACAGTTAAGTAACTGGCTGGCAAATACAGTCACATACCTGAATTCATTCTTCAGGGATTATTGAACACACTGTAATCTTTATACCTGTGTGATTTGCAGATGTGGGTGTTTTTGCTTTGCTTACATGCCCCTTTTTCCTCTGTTCTGAACCAAGGCTTTGCCTTTTATACTGCCAATCAGGCAAAGCAGACAACTGTCCCATGGCCCAAAACTTTGTGCTAATTTTTTTTCATAATATCCACTATTTAACCACAATTATCAATGACTTGACGAGGATGGGTCATGCTTTATTACCCGATCTTCAGACCTTGTCCAGATCTAGTTTTAAGACAATTCAAGTAAACTTGCATGCTTTGTATCTGTTAGTGATAATTGTTTACAATCTTTGTTTTCCTTAGTATTTATGAGTATACTTCTGTATTAATAAATGCTAGCTACCATGAATTAGAATTACATTAATACCAAACAATATGATCACTAAATTAGACGTCAACAGAGTAAGACAACATACAGATACAAACTCAACAGTAAGCACTGTGATAAAAACTGAGCTAGACCATAAAGTCATGATAAAAAACTGTACCATTCTTTAATTCAGTACAAAAGGTGCCACACAGGCCTCAAAGACACAAGTGAGAGAGTGTTTACACAGGAACAGAAAATGGGATTTTTACCCTTTCTGTAGCAGAGCTAGAGATACAGACAGACTGGAGGTCAAACAGAGGAACGTGCTCAACCCTTAGGTACAGGATTCATCGGGTTAAAAATCTGATCTTTGTGCCTGTGTAAATCCAACCAAAAATCCAACATCACAGCTATTCCCAGGGGAAAAGAGTACATCGTTTTAATGACAGATTTACATTGTGATGACTCTAATTCAAATAAAAACAAATAAAACAATTATACAGTTCCAGAGGATTTTAATACTATACAATTAATAATAATAGTAATAATAATAATGATAATACAAATAATGATGAAGAACACAGTAACACATGACTTGTAATAGCTCCCATTTTAAGGGGAACTGCAACAGTACATTCTTTCATTCAACATCGTCTGCAACAAGATGCAAAATAACTAAAAAAAGAACTTCTGTCACCCACTACACAAAGGTGGGGTGAAGTTGTAATGTTAAAGGTGGATATTATGATGTTGTCATTATTCCTTTGTTTTACAGACAAGTGTCAGAATGATGGGCTTACATATTTGGTATTCACGCGTCGACATTCCCAAGGTTCAGCGTGTTCTTTGCTGGTTGCTGATGGATGCTAGCAGAGACCGAAGCTGAGATCTTCCAGTTATGGAGCAGCTTGTGTAATAAGTACATTATCGTGCTGCTCTATTACTCAGCTCCTCCCTTGTTGCTGAGCGGCATACGGTGGGATTTGTGGCCTACAGTTCTATAGTTTCACTTAAAAATGAAGAATTCTGTGAAGCAGTTCATAATAAATTTATGTTTTATAAATAAAATGTCCTTGATGCAAAAACATGCCAAACTTTAAAATGTCAAGATAGCCATTAAATGACCTTAGGCAAAGTAAAACAAATAACGTCTGGTCTCAGATTAATAACAATGACAGTTTGATGGAAGTTACCAAAGATTACTTAATGACTCCATACTATAATTTACAGTGTGTTGTGACTTTAAAAAAGGACGGAAAAAGAAAAAAAATTCAGCGTTTTTTTTTGATCTCTGATGTTTTTTTCTTTACATGGCATACTTTTGGGTCCATTCTTTTGCTAGTTTGTTGTATCTGAGGAGAGAAAAGACGAGAGTCACTAGATGTTGATATTGAGATTAGTGGATAATGAAGCATCACCTGAGCCTGTGTGCACACTCACTTGTCTTTGTCGTTCTTGTAGATGTGCGCTATGTCTGGAACTAAGGGATCGTCCGGGTTTGGATCACAAAGCAAAGAACATATGGACAATAAAACTGGAATGAAGAGAAATTATGAAGATCATATTAGTTAAAGTGTAAATAAAGGATGTTAAGACGAGGCAAGTTTATTTGTATAGGACCTTTCAACAACAAAAAAGTGCTTTACATAGAACATAAAAGGCATTAAGAAAAGAAACAAGATGTATATACAGGTTTACATTCATAGAAGCACCTAGCTAAAATTAATGCAGTCTAATCTAACACTCCTGCCAAAGATCCTTCCTCATGTAGGTTGTAATGTTCAGTTTGTGTTGTTAAAGAGGTGCTCACTCAACTGCATAATCATTTTGGAGGCCACAGTTTGTGTTACTGTTGAATTGTATTGTGTTATGTTAACAGGTCTTTCTATAATTTTGTCCACTCCATTCAAAAAAGTGAGGGTAGGCTAAAAGAAAAACACCTCTGTTTGTGACAGCGAAAAGGTAGACCTCTGTACATCTCCTGACAGAAAGTCTTTTACCGAGCTAATGTCAGCAGAAACATAACACAAGCACCAGAACTGAGTTAAACACACTGAATGTTTCTGAATGATACTTGCACATGTCGCATTAATTGCTCAGGCTGGGTGTGTAATTAAACAGATTGTACAGCAGTGAAGTGAATTACTGACATTTGTCAGGAGTACTACTGGACCTTGTGCGAACATTGCACCTCTGTGAGGTGTCAAGTCCCTGTGGACAGCACACACGACATCACCACTACTGTAAAAATCCTAGGGGAAAGACTATAAATGTTTCTTTGTTTGTTTTGTTACACTACTATTTCCACAGTCAAAAATCACTACAGCATGTATCTGATCAGCATCAACCAGGAATTCATATTATACATTACATATATTACATTAAACACTGATATGTTATATAAAACATCCAGTCATGTGCACCAGAGTTAAACATTTTCTTATGAATGAACTGCTGCAATTGCCTGGTCTATGTAATACAGTCATAATAACACAGACAAGAGCTTTACACTGTGCTAATAATGCAGATCTGGATATCTGAAAAGTGTGATACATTCACTAACTCTGCTACAGCAAATTACACAATAAATCCACATGAAGTAATGTTCTCAAAATGAGCAAATACTTTCACATTTTGGAATGAAACTCAAAACATGTAGGTGAGTATAGATTTACACTCTCTACACGCTCAAAATAGGATCAATGGCAGTGATAGCAATGGGAGAGTGTAATTACCTTTAGACACTGTTAGTGCTGGAGACCACTGTGACCGTAGAATGTCCAAACAGATACTGCCATTGCTGTTAATATTTGGGTGATAAATCTTTGTTGTAAATGCTACCTGTAAAAAAAAAAAAAAAAAACACATTTTATTCACACAGGTTTGTATGAGCAGATAAAATACACATCCACAGTTACTGTACTAGTGTTCCTCACTCAGGCTCTGTGTTTCAGCACGTTCAATTTCAAATAATGGATACTACAGTAAAGTGTAAAGTCTCAGCTTTAATTTGATGAGGTTTTCATGAAGATAGAAATACTGTAGATAGTCTTTTTTAAGACATACTTTCTAAATTGCAGCGATTTAAAAACTTGGATAAGTTTGTATCTTTGATGACTCCAGAGGAAAGTCACCCTGTATTATCAATAAAAGTAATTTCACACAGTGAGCTGTACACCACAGACAGCTGCTATCCATTATCTACCTTGTACAGTCTCACCACACAGCTAAATAGCGTGAGTTTCAGCTCAAAATAGAGGAAATTGTTCACAATATGACACAAAGAATATAGGAAGTTTTGCAACTAGTGTCCAAAACGTTGTTTGTTGTCACTGTTTATGGAAAACACTTTTAAAATCATGAAACATACAACTTGTTGAGGGTTATCCTTAACATAATTCATGAAATAAGAGAGGTTTTGAGGACCAGAAGGTTTTGTGACTGCACACCACCATGATAAATTCCACAGTGTAACAGGACAAGGCTTTGAGTAACCACACCAGCTCTTACCTTTGGTGGCTTGAACGGGTAGTCGGTGGGAAAGTGGATTGTGAGAAAGAAAACTCCTCCTTGATAAGGACTATCACCCTGACATAAAGACACAAGAGATATTTCTGTCAGTAAAACATTTCCCATTAAAAACATTCAAATGACTGACAGTCAGCAATCTACAGCCACCTTCAGAGAGAACAGGCTCTCTTTGAGTTATCTAGACTTTGAAGCCTTACATTGATGGTTTTAGTGAACTGCTGTCACAAAGCTGCTCACCATGACTATGAATGTCCACACTGAAGAAGGGAAGTTCCTAATTACAGGCCAATCACACACAATGCTGACAGATCAAGAGCAGTAAATTAAAATGTTTTTTAAAGTGTTACTCCATATGGGAAATTGTGGCTTTACATGTAGACTACAAACGCACAAGTAGAGTAGAATAGAATGCACAAGAAAAAGCAGAAACAATTAATATCCCATGGGTGTCACAGGTTGTCATTTGTGTTTTGATTGGTGGCTTCAAGAAGGTGAGTCTCACAGTATCTAATATTAGTGCCAACAACTAAAGCACCTGCAGAAAGCCAGCTGAGCTGAGCAGGGTTTAGGTAAGGCCTGCATCCTTTCTTCTTGTTTGCAATCAGTGTATGTGGTCGGATGGTAGCTGGTAAACACTGTGTCCCATATACAGGCAAACTGCAACCTACTGTTACTGATTAACATGATCAGTTCAAAAAACACTGTTAATCATGGTGAAAATTAAATAATCTCTGGTTAATTAATGGAAAACCAGAGCTAATAATATTTATTTATTATTATTTTTATTTTATAATTTATTTTTTATTGTTAAGGCCATTTGTTTTACTGGTTATGGTAATGCTGTACCAACGGAATTAATTGATGAGATCTCAAAATGTAAAGATATCATATACAATAGGTCCAAAGTGGCATCTAATGTGAGAAATTGATCAGAGGTTGTAAACAATCCAAGAGGTAAATCAAATTTATTTCTAAAACAAAAATATCCCAAACTGTCAGGTGTTAACATCCATCACAGACCCACTTCCTGCTTCAGCTTTGACCTTCTGTACTTACTGTAGTGCACAGTTTTCCTGTTCAATGAGCTATAAGCAATATTTCCGGTGTGCTTACTTCAATTTTACCTCCAAATAAAGTGTTTTACACAACCTGAATAAACCGCTAGTTGTTGTCCTGTTCAACCTATTTTTACCAAAGTCACCCCATTCTGAGATCTCAACAATTACCCATTGCTGTAATTACCCATGGTTTTCCTTTGATATTCGACTATAAATGTCATTCATTATTGGTGATTATATGGTGAACTACTGTACTTTTAAAAATCATAATGGACAGCAGAATGATGCTGCTGGTCTGTGGACAGGTTCCTGTGTTCTTGTTATTAGTTGTTACTTTACTGTAAATGCAGTACTTTTAGTCCATGTCTTCTGTAAAGACAATGACTCAGTTTTACCTCTAAGTTGACACATCAATACGTGGCCTGTCACAAGTTTTAAGATGAATGTCTGTACTCTGGGACAGGATGGCTGTGTTTCGTAGGTTACTGTGGTGAACAGTTCCAATTACACGTAACCCAAAAGGTGATACCAAAAGGTTACCGGTAGTTAATTTGCTAATCTGACGTTGTGATACAGTTCCCATGAGAATACGTTTGACTGAACATCAACAACATTCCTTATACGGAATCTAAGCGGGACGCCTACCCAAACCGATTAGCTTCAGCTTAAAGATGATTCATGAATAAGTTAGAATTAGTTGTTTTATATTCACTAATGATGCTAAAAAATATACAATATACTGTGTATTACACAATGCAAATGCATTGAGCCAAAGTAATTCAAAGGGATGCAAAACTATTGAAAGGAAATGCAAAAGTAGACCAAACAACTCCCTGCTGTGGCTTTAAAGATCCACACTACCGCTCAAAAGCTTGAGAACATTTTTGCAATTTTTAAGGAAATTTCAGCAGCTCAAGTCCAGTGAGAAACTGGTACAAATGACAGATGTAAACTGCCCAAGTAAAAAATGAATAAACAAAAAGATTGGGTAATTAAAAAACTAAAAAATCATGTAAAAGTTGGTGTTAATGCAAGTTAATGCGAACAGTTCCTACAACCCCCTGTCTGTGCAAAGACAGTGTTGGAACAAACTGTGTCACTACACTCTCTGATGCATTATCAGGACAACAATGTACTGCAGGAAGTAGGACTGTATATTACTGTCAGAACAGTAAGAACAAGACAAGTAGCAGAGGAAGACAGACTGGTTCATCCTACCCCGAGATAATGAGCCACAACATTAGAAGAACAGGATGATAATTTTAAAATCCCCAGTTATTTATCTGCTCTGTGCTTTGATTTCAGAAACACTGAGACATTGAATTATGTAAATGTAAATAACAGCTGGAAAAATTGATGCTTTCTGAACCTTTTGACTGGTAATGTATGTAAAACACTGGGAAACTCCATAGTCCATATAGCTACTAAGTGCACCTTGAAAGGACTGAAAGGCTGAAGTGATAGCATGATACTCACTGGACCCATTATGGTTGCCTGCCAATGAAACACTAGAAGCAATCAAGGAGAAAGAGAGAAACACAGCAGAATGTAAGCTGTACATGTGACAGACACAATGTTCATCAGTCATCATTCATCTACTACAACACTCTGTCTACAGAAGCTCATGCATCTGCTCTCTCTGTGTTTGGCACAGGTGAAGCTGGCCTTACCACTGTGACCAGCTGATCATACAGCTTCAGCCACTCCTGTACCCAGTCACTGTCTATGTCTGGATTATTTAAAAGGTAACCTTTCAAACTGACTGCACATTCTTCCTCACTGAATCTCTCTGTCAGCACTGCTGTGTTGGAAGAATGGGGATTGTTCTAGTCCTACCATCACTTCCAAAATAAGGTGTGGTATAAGAATAGCTCACAAGTAACCCTTTAGGCAAAGCTTTGAAATCTGGACTGGACTCTTTCAATGCCTGTTTCTCCCCTAACTATGTTTGGGCCTCTTATCTGAATAGATGAAAATAACAAACATCCTGTTCATATTGTAGTTTCTATGACAAAGAGTCCTCCTACAGTTGCCTTATTTGTTGAATGTGTGCAAAACAGTTGAAACAGTGTCTTAGTTGTGTGCTATTATCATATTTTAACCATCAAACAACCCACAGGCAGTGAGAAGCTGCCACTTTTAAATATACTCAGGTGAGACATTGTGACATGAAATATGTGTGTGTGTGTGTGTGTGTGTGTGTATGTGTGTGTGTGTGTGTGTGTGTGTGTGTACTCACAGTCATCCCCCACTGGTCCAGCAGAGCACTGTGCCGGAGGGTCTCTCTGCAAATCCTGCAGCTCCTGCCCAACATAAGAGAAATACTGCAGTTAGTTATTCCTCTTTTACATCAAACTTTGTGGACACTACTGTGATGTTTTCTCCAGTTTATGATGATGACTGATGACCGAAGATTGGGTAAGTGAGCTTAGCCACAGTGACAAATGCTGATAATATATACAGTTTGTCAGCAGCATCAGGTTATTGGATGCACAATGAATTCAGTGTAGTGGAAAACACTATCTACTCAGGGATTCATCAGTTTTCACAGTGCCACTTTACCAATTAGCAGGCAGCTCTTTTTGATCTTCAAACAACTAATAACCTGTCCCAAGAGGCATGCACTTTCCCTTAGCCCCCCCCCCCCCTTCACTATCTGCATCAGGGTACTTCCTGGTTAGAAAGGAGTGGTATGGGGTAGAGGAAGAGCTTGCAAGATTTTCCCTGGGAGGTATACCCATGTTTAAGATATTATGAAGTGCACACAAGTTATCATAGCAGTGTATTTCATACTTTCCCAAGCAAACACTAGACTTTATGAGGGCTTGTGATTGTTGGGTGGGGACATACCCGGCACTTTCCTGGTGTCTATCCACTTGTAATATTCTATTAAGGCTGTTACCACTGCCAGCACTAACTACATAGCAGGGGTACGATATCAAAAAACAACAAAAGAAAACATTTAGAAATGGATAGCGTTGTGAAGTAGTCACTTCCCTGGTCATTGTAGTACTTGTACACAGCCAAGAGACGCGTACAAACACAAGAGGACTGTCGATCGGCTACTTGGACAAGTTAAAGAGCTCGTAGAGTGACAGCTTTAAAAACAGTGACAGATTGACACGGAGGCAGCCAAACAGGGCAGTTAAGAAGCTAACTTGGCTATTTGTTAGCACGAAACTTTGAAGTTGTCCTTGTGTGTGTTCTGGGAGGTGTCAGCAAAAAGCTTATTCGCAGAAACGTTACGGAGTTCGCCAGAAGTTGTTTTAATGCGGGGATAGCGTTGAAATCTTTGTTAATAAACAATAATAACTCAAACGTTAGCCTCTGCTCAGCCAGTTAGCTGCCATTAGCCGGCAAGCAAAGCTAGCTAGTCAAACTTACCTTCTGTATTCTTTTCAGTGCCATGGTGACTGATGCCGTTCGCTTCTCAGCTCACTTCGACTCTTTCTTAATTTTCTGTTTCAATATTATTGCTGCAAAGTCAATGGCTGTAGTTTATTCCCTGAGTACTTGCACGGACAGGGATGTGTTTGTGTTTTAATAAAACCTCCTTTGTTTCCGCTTGTTTCTGTTTACGGTCGCTCCTCCGCTCCGAAGTGGATCATGGGAAACGTAGTCATATATACATATACATATACATATATATAGATAGATATACATATATATATATATATATGTATCTATATAAATAGATAGATAGATAGATAGATAGATAGATAGATAGATAGATAGATACATATATCTATATACACTGTTGCTCATAAAGTTGGAATAAAATATTTTTTACCTGTTTCCATGAAATGATTGTGACAATGTGATTTATTCTTGACAGATAAAGTGTATATCTTCTCAAAACTTTAGTAGTCAATCTCTTCCAAAGTGATTACTGATGTATTTTAAATAGGAATAAACAGAGGATTGTGTCTGAAAACAAAATTTATTCCAACTTTATGGGCAACAGTGTATATATATATATATATATATATATATGTGTGTGTGTGTTGTATGTTGTGTTGTGTGTGTGGGTTGTGGTGTGTGTGTGTGTGTGTGTGGCACTCACTACCTGTATACATATGCATATGTACATATACATATAGAACACTAATAATAATAATAATAATAATAATAATAATAATAACAATAACAATAATAATAACAATAATAGTAAAGAGACTAATAATAATGAGACAAATAATAATGATTGTAGCAGTGGGTATTGAGCAGGGTAATGGGGCAGTATAGCTGGTTTACAGACACAGATACAGACTCTACAGCTCCTTAGGCAGAACCTACCTACCTACAGAGAGAAACAGAGGAAAGAGATGAGAAAGCACATCAAGTCTGCAACAAGTTTTGTCAACATTACTGCTGCTGTTTAGTTGCCACTGGTTTGAAGAGTCTGTACTGGTTTACTCTGGTTTAAAGATAATGCATCTCTGTGTTCAGTGTAAAAATGAAACCAAACAGGCACCTTTCCAGGGTCTGTGTTCTGATTTTCATGCCATACAGATATTGATGGAATAAATGGACATTAATGGCTGGAAAAGCACATCTGAAAATCTAAAACCACAGAGCATGCATTTTAAAAAGCATGAATGATTGCATGATTGATGATTTGCAAGCGGCTAAAATCTAGTGTGCTATTTCTCTGGTCTTCCAACAGGTGGTGCTGTTTATAATGATTAAAACTGTTGCCACAATGTCTGAAACAAATTTTAATCAGTTAACAATTCACAATTTTTGAATAATTATAATTATTTTCAGGAGAGCATAAAAGATCTCTGCACTCCTCCTTACCCTCTACACTACAGCCAGCATGAAGTGATGGAGAGTTTCCGCAGGCCTCTGAGCTGAGTTGAACATTTTCAAATACTTGCAACATTATAATGAGAGAACATTATAATGCAGAAAAGTTTGAGGGACTAAACTACACTATTGTCATTATTAGCTAAATGTGTAACACATCATGGTGGGTGTGTTTGTGGAAAGTGCTGAAAAATAGTTGAGCAACAAGAGCCATTCTTGACCACAGCCCACTAACAGGTTAATCATAGCTATGACCTAAGCTCCATATATATCTAAGTGAGCCAACTCCATGACAACTGAGCAAACCCATTTGCTGATGAAGACCATTTGCTGAATTGAAAGCTCCAGAAAAAGCTAGCTTCAGTTAAAAATACTTTGTCTGCTAGAAAATGCTTTTCAGCATCCTGATGGCATTGTGCTGTATATTCCATAGAATGCAAGTTGGCTTTTGATTGGTTGACTTGACTTTTAATGCTTCTAAAGGGAAACATTATAATTGTGATATAAAATCAACCTGTTCAAAAAACAGACAGAATAAAAGATGTTCATGTCATGCCATACTTTACTCTTCTGTGATCACAACCTTTTTAATTGGTTTGTGATTGACATGGCAACAGTGGGTTTGTTATTAAACATGACCGTTCCATCAGTAAGGCTGCGTACTGAAAATGTTCAATACATATTAATACAATACTTATTACAGATACTAAAACAATACTTAGTTGATACAGTTTTTCTAAAAAAAGAAAACACTTTATTGCTTAACAAATGTTGAAAAAAGGGCAAAGCAGCCCTCATCATAACTAGCTGCATTTATCTAAAATGACCAAAAAAAAGGAAAAAAAAAAAAACAACCACAGAAAACCTTTAGCCATGATGAGGGAGTGAAGATATTATTCCCTCAGGACATAAACAGGGCACGATATAACAAGTGGCACACCTCTCCGTCCCTGCTTACAGCATTTAGAGAAAAGATATTATCTGCAGCAATGTAATAATCGTCAGTCTTTTAAATCGTTTAACATGGAAAACCTGCATAGACTCGGACAAAGGCAAATGTTCACTTAGAAAAAATAGTTCACTTCATCTGGTGAATGGCACTCACTACTTTTTAGTTCTCTTTTCAATTTCAAGAGCAACTGATGATTTTCTGGATTTCCGTGTGTGAAACCAGATGAGAACTGAACCTCCTTCTCTGTGACTACTTTTTCAAAATCTGGCACCTATTGATACTTTAAATGTAAGAATGTACTGTAAAAAGGGGGAATCTAAAAATGACTCACTTCCAGCAATGTGCTGATATGAAGTTCTGCTTATTTGAAGGGGAATTTACCAGATTTTAGAGCCTTCCATAATAAAATGCTTATATGTTTATTTAATTTAGAGGAGCAAAACCTTTTCCACACTATCTGTTGTTCTTCATTAACATTTGTACAACCCTTGTCTTTTATGATGTCACATGTGTGATATCATTATTGTCTGTTTTAGTGACTGGTACTCTGTTGGAGATGAACTGATACATGTTGGTGGACTGTGAAAACACAGGATTATTGATAATGAAAATAATATGATGAATATGGCACATGGAGGTCCGGGCCTGTACATTGAACTTATATAATACAGACAGAAATCATGAGCTACATCAGAACATTACATTACAGATGTAGGCCTACAGCATAAACACTCTCATTATGTTGTTATGAGCAGGAGAGCAGACTGAACAGCACCTCATTTAAGTGTAAACAGAGCTGCAATCTGTTTACTGATCCCTGTATTGTGTTTATGGGACTTTAGGCCAATTAGAGTGATAGCATGAATTTTCCGACAGATAAGTGTAATTGTCAGTGCAATTAGGGACATGGACTCATCTGGAATGATGGTGGAGGAGAATGCAAATCCCAGTATGACAGGGGCTTTCTCAGACTTACATGGGCCATGCTGTATTTCAACAGCAGTTTACAGTCATTCTGTCACACATTTATATCTGGGAGATACCAATAAAAAATATCATACTGTTATCCATTAACCATGGCTACAGTGTGAGAACAGGTTGTGTCTGACTAATAGATTGATTAGTTGTCAATATACAGTCCAATAAAATGTTTAAAGCAAAGACAAACCAGAGGCTGACAGCTGAGAAGATTCAAATCATGTCTCCTACAAATTATGTTCATTTATAAGTAATGTGCAAGTAGAGATTGTGAGATTCCCTCACAATATTAAGTTCCAATTCACAAAGTAACGTGATATTCTGTCAAAAACTGAACAATAATTCAGTCACACACAGCTGCTCTGCATTGTGTGTGACTGTGTATTAACATTATGGATGACAACGAGTGTAAAAGTCATCCCTAGGATGCACAGACTTACACTCACTATATTATTATATACTCTGATATAAGAGAAAAATATCTAGTCTCACTGTTGAATAGCTGCAGCACAACATACAGTATATTATAGCAAAATTTTAGAGGAGATGATTATGGATAAAGTCACAAGTCAAAATGCCAATACTTGGGCCACATGCTTATATATAGAAATATCTCAAGAACATTTTAATATCAGATATGTTCTATGTTGGGATGTAGATATTATCAAAAGCCTGAAATGATAAAGTGATTTACTTCTCTGGATTTCAACTGTAAAATTTCAGCTTGTTGTTGATATGTTTTGTGTTGTTCTGTTGAACACATCTCCTGTTGCCCTCATAATATGTATTTTATAATTGTAATTAATACTATTTTATCTTGTTATTTTTATGCATACAGAACTGGAATCAGTTAAATAAGCCACTTAATGAAATGAAATGATATTAAGTCGATGTTATACTGGAAACATTAAGTCATTCACAGCTGATGACAGTTGACAGATAAACTTCTGTTAAACTGTGATAAGGGTTCTTGATGGCTAATATGGGACCAACCCACATAGCTCATTATTTCTAACAAACTCAGTGTTTTCAGTCAGCACATATGACTGTGAGTCTAAGGGCTGTTGTCATGTTGCCTGCCATCAGGGAGGAGGTAAACTTTCCCTAGGAGCCAAATCATACACATATTTGAGGTCATTTGTCCAGTCAGCTGTTGGCTTTTTAAAGTTGTTGGCCTCATTGTCATTGCAATTAACAAATACTGATGGACTCTCAATGCTTCACATCTTACTGCAAATTATTATGATGAAATTTACTGTATGTTAAATGGATTTATGCCTCAAGTTATTGTATTATTCTATTTTATGATGTGTATTGGTTGTGTTGACTACTGTTGCAAACCGAATTTCACCTTGGGGACAACAAAGATTTGTAATCTAAAATTTCACCAACACCACCAATTACCCACTGGCATCCCAGTTTTGCCTGCTTACCCCTGCTTATATTGCTCTCACAGTCTACTACGTCTCTACTATAAGGCTGCGGAGATACTGATACCGTCCCCACCCCCAACCTCTCTAATTAATGGTATTAGCTAATAACGTTAATTATTATACAGAATATTGTATAATGAATTCCTGTTTAATGGGACACTTATGGAATTAAATCATCATTGATGTTACAAGCTGCAACTGTGCTTCTCCTGCTATGACAAGTCAAAATGTCCCCAGTAGTTATTTAGTTTCATTGGATTTCATTTTCAGTCTCACCTAAAGAAACAAAGAAAGCCTTATCTCTTGAGGGAGAGCACTTTGACTTGTTTCCATAACCAATGGTAATGTACTGAAACAAAACTGTGTACACAGAGATGTTTGTCTTAATTTGAATTCTGCTTCACACAAGGCTCTACACTGTTCTTCACCAGACAATATGTCCATAATTTTTTAGGATTGTATCCCAAATCAACAGATCATCTTTCCTGGAACATCAAGAACAATTTACATTTAACATCATAAATATTACTGTCATCTGTTAATTAATCATACAGAATAAAGATTTCACCGCAATAAGCTAGGGCTGTTCACAGTAAATGTTCCAATTAAAGATCTTCGCAGTGAGCAGCTGTTTAGGCAAATTCAAAAGATTCAAATATCACCTTACATAGTTCGACTATCTATTGAATAAGCTAAAACAATAATACCCTCCTTTGGGGTATTACTGTACATTGGATGGTATATGACATCACTGTTGAGCACTAACCCTAACTAACCCTAAGCACACATTTTTTATGCTAGAGGTAAGATTCAAATTTACATAAAGTAGAATACAGATAATCAAATCATCAATTTAATCCCCGGGTTATAAGATCTGAAGAGCTAAATCATAAACAGGACAGTGTTGTTGACAACATGTTGCTTTGCTTCACTCCAACTTGCCTGGGAAACCACCCTGTTCTAAACTCAGTTACTGGAATGCGAGCAACATGTCCTTGATAAAGAGATAATGGCAGTATAACATTTTCCATCTACTACACCTGAAATTTACAAAGATCGCTATTTAACCTATTTTGTTTAATTCTTGCTCTAAAAACTGAATGAATGATTGATACATGCTGTATACTAAAGCTATTTCTCTCATATACCAGCAGACTATTCTTTTCAGATGATCTTCAAGTGTTGAATATGTTCATATTTAGCACTGTTAAGGTTAATGCCACTGTAATTGAGTGGGAATTTAGGATCACTTATTATTTAGGGATATTTTTAATGGTCTTGTACCACTGGGAATGGATTCAGGCTGTGAAAAAGTTAATGTAGTTTTACGCAATGTTTGGTTTCAATGTTTATTCTAGTGAGGCCCCAGATTAAAAATAAATCTGGCCAATACTTGGGCCACATGCTTATTTTCTTCTGGTCCATTATACACCTGGTCACATGGTCTGAATCTGGCCCATATACAGCATTCAAATGCTACTTCCACATCTGGACCAATTCTACTGCAGAAAATCCTGCAGCTGTCAGCCAATACCAGAGGATAAAAGCAGGAATCTGCCCAGATGTGGCCAGACTCAGGCCTAGGACCCTGTCACATACATGTAGATATCTTAGATCTCCTGCTCTTATTATTTGCTGCATGCTTTATATTTCACATATTTCATGCTATTCATGTTTATGTTTTTATGCTACTACTTTCTTTGTAGTGCTGTTCTTAATGTGGATCATTACAGTGCAAACTGTCTAATCTCACAGGATAACATTTGAATTTGGCTTCATGGAAATACTGGTAAGACTGACAAGTCACACTGGTATTTGTGTATTTATTTAGCCACATATTAAATATATCAACAGAGAGAAGAAGCTAGGGGGAGAATGGATCTACATTTATTTTCATACATAAACGACCTGATGTCGGATGCAAATCAAGTTGCTGTCGCAAAGGTGTGAAAAGGTATGTTTTGCGACAGTAATGGCAAATGTCGCAAACGTGTGAGAAGCTCTGGGCGTTGGTTACGTAGAGAGGTAGCCGCCTACTCTGACCTGGATATCTGTGGCTGAGGAGGACTCTGCCGACCTCTTTTAATATCATGGATTTAAGGACGACAAAGCGTCGCGTTTGTGCTCATCCTCAGCGGACAGGCCTCCGTCTTGAAGGCGGTTATACGGCAAGTGTGATGTCCCCCTGGTCTGCTGAGCTGTGACGCGAGGACGGACTTGTTTAGCAGCCTAATGGACAGTATCGATAAGTTATCAATTAAAATCTCGACTGAGTAGCCTCTTTGTGCGATTTCGGGATTATATCGTTTCCGTTTGCACCGCCTGCCTCTGTGCTGGTTGACTGTAGCAGGATATCACCTCTGACTTTGTCGTAACATCAGCATTACTGAGGGAAACCAGTGTTTAGCTGTCGAGCGAGGAAGTGAAGCTGAAGTTGATAAAGATAAGACCGGAAGTTTGGTGATTTTGCCTTCATAACAAAGGCGCCTAATATATTAATTTTGTTTTTGAAAAAAGACTTCTGGGGTTCAACAAAGCAGTTAAACCAACCAACTTCAAAAAAAAAATTAATGTCTTTATTATTACTTTGGTACACTGTATTATCTTTACGCCTCCAATCGTTTTATTTTGGAAGCTGCGAGCGGAAGTAGTTTTTGGTCCTACTGTTTCTGAGTCTGGTAGGAAGGGGGATGTGGCCAGGATGTATTTATGCTGCTGTTCAAGATATGAAAATCATTGAATCGGCGCTGCTTCGGGAGCCCTGCTTCACCACCGGGCACAGCGGGGGTAACGACAGTGCTGCCGTCCGTCAGCGTGGTGGTGGTTGTCGGCGCTCGAAAACAGCCAACACGGCCGAGGCGTCTGTGCTGGTTTCGTCTGGACTGGACCATTTCCATGAAGGCTTCTCAACCTCACGCCCAAACAATTTGTTGAATTTGTGTGCGGGGCTGTATTCTGTGCTTATGTAATAACAGTATGTGAATCGACACAGTCAAATAGATTTTTTTTTTATAATTCGTTTAGTTTTGGACAAAAAGCTTTGCCCTTTTTTTAAAAAAAAAAATCATTTTATTTTATTTTATTTTATTTTATTTTATTTTTTACAAATGTCAACAACTCAGCATCAAGTGATGATGGAGTCCTCTCTAGCTCTTGGTAGACTGGAACTGACCCCCAGCACAGCCGCTGTTGGGGTCAACCTGACCCCGCGGCTAAGCGGTGGCCCCCCCGCGAAAGAGAAGAGCGGCCAGCGGCCTCTGGGGCCACAAGGCCAGGCTCATCTGAACGGCTGCGTCCCGCTGTCACATCAGGTGGCGGGTCACAAGTACGGAGTGGATAAAGTGGGTAAGTGAACTGTTCGAGCGATTCTTAATGTTCCTCTTCTTCTGTCACAGAACATAACCTCCTTTTCTCAACATGTTATTAAGACATGTAATGTGTGAATGTGCTCTGGCTCATCAAGCCTCCATGTGACTCAGGACATCATATGAATTGTTTGAGTTCATTGAAAAAAATCGGCCTACAAATAATCCACCAAGCAAATTTCTCATCAATGTAAACACACAACTTTGTTCGTACTGCTTGTTCTTGCCACCTGTCCTGTATTATAGGAAAAATGTTGTTGGAAGATCAATTAACCTAGAAGTGAAAGATGAAATCAGTATTTTAGTCAGTTCAGTTTGTTGTATAATGCATCCGAACCAAAGTGTGGATGGTAAAGTTCAGAAACACTCGCTCTCGCTCCACCAGATATGCGCACTGTCGAGTAAACTGAGATTTTGAATAGAAGTTAGACACGAATTTTTTTTCTTCATACATGTGAGAGCAGCGTGCACATGAGGTAGGATTCATGCATCTGTGGGAATGACGTTGAATATCTTCCTTCTTGCACCAGCTTCATCTTCACATATGGATCCTTGCACTTAACCTGATCAAGCAGAGATCTGTGGCTCTAATTTGTCCCCATTTGTGGATTTGTGCCCATTGAGAATTCCGGCCCCATGGCCTGTGTCTCATCTTCACTGTCACACACTCACATTCATGCACGCAGCACACCTGACATTATCAAAGCCTCCACTGTGCATTATTAGGCAAAGTGTTGAGCTGAATTGATTGTGCATGTTACAGTCAGCAGCTGGTGTCACAGTACAGTGTCAGATGGATGAGTCATTGCTGTTTAGTCAGGTACTTTGATGAATTGCAACTTCTGGGAAAACACGTCTTTATTTTGTGGCACAGGCAGGACATTTCCAAGAGTTGTGAGTCCCGCAGTCCGGGATGCAGCCAAGACAGACCTGTCCATCCACGAAACCTCTCTGGCTGAAGTGGTCATGTTTTACCGCAGGCAGTGGTGTATGCATTCTTTGGTGTATCACCGTGTTGATTCACAGACCTACTAAAAAAATTATGGAAAGTTACAGATGACAGTTACAAATGTAAGTGTACTGCTCAACAGAAATTAAGCAATAAAACTAAGTTGATGCCATAAAACCTGCGTGGACTCAATTTTAAGAAAGTATCAGTTTTATAAGATGTGAATAATAGAATCTAAATGTGTGCAAAATATTTTGTGCAATGATGATTTGAGAGTGTCCTCTCTCTATCTGCAGAGTAGAAAGAAGGATTCGGGGATAAACTACATCTGACAGCAATGTGGAATGATCTTATCTCAGTCAATCCTTGGGCGTGGTTGTGAATAATCATTAACACGGGCTGCATGAGTTCAAACTAACAGACAGGTATTGACACAGTATTGAGACTAAACCAGCAGTCTCCTTCAGTCTCCACAGCAGTTGTATAACAAGCGCTGGAATCCTGTTCAGCTTGTACTGCTGCTGACTGAAAGTGATCCTGCTCACTCCTCCCACCGTTTCCCTCGGCCTCCAGTCTCCTTCTCCACCATAGGTCTTTTGTTTGAATGCAAGTTAGTGGTGGGCAGCTATGTGCCATAATGGACTGGAAGTGTGGAAGTTTTTAACTGAGCACTGCCTAGAGCAGGTGGTTTCATTGGTTATTTTAGTGTCTGTCATGCAGGTGATCTGATGTGTTTGGTTGTATTAAAGACCTTCTGCAGATCCAGAGGGGATGAGAAGGATTAGACTGGTTGGTTCTTAAACAGGAAGTGTGTGTGGTCATATATCTGTTAACTAGCCAGGCTCACAGAGGCAAACTGGATTTCCCATGCATTAGATTCCATTGGTGTAGTGATTACATTTTATTGTATTGTTAATAGAGCTAGGCTGATTAATCAGTCAGTTTTTCTAGCTGTTGAATTGTTAAATTTACATAATTCAATGTTTCGGTGTTTCTGAAGTTAAAGCAGAGAACAAATAAAGAATTGGAAAATTTAAAATCAAGGAATCTTCTTGTTGAACTAAATTGAATCTAAATTTTTGACTCTGAACAATCAAATACTGTTCAGAGACTTGGTCAAACTCTGTTGCAGAAGTTCCCACTGATGTGTTACTCTTGCAGGTTGCTTTGCTGTCACCGTCTGTCTGTCCAATTCATCCTAAACCATGGGGTGTAGGTCTGGAGACTGCGCTGCTCTTCATCATGTGATGACGCCACCGTCTGGTTCTGTTCTTCTCCTGTTTGATTTGACATAAGTGGACATTGTGGTTGCTGGTTCGTACTGAGATGATAATTTCGCGTGTCTTGCCTTAGTGATTGACAGGCTTTGTTTTCTGCACATGAGCTGTTAGCATCTAGGGATACGCTGCTTCCAGTACCATCACCTGTGCCTGCAGAGGCCGCTGTTGCCGCTGCTCTGAAAAGGTTACACAGTGTTGCTTTAACTTTCAAGGCTTCATTTACTTCCATTGCTGGTTGTGAATTATGATCCACTGTCATTGGGTTGAGTCCAGCTCTGACTGTTCACATGAAAGAAATCTTACTGACAAGCCAATCACACGCAGCATTATTAGAACTACGACTGGAGAACTTCATGAGATAAAATAGTGATACCTGTCGAGAAACTGGAAGATTATGACGCCAGAAATATGAAATGAAATGAGGTGAAATACATACAACAAAGTTAATAAGTGTCTTTATTGTCAACATGTTTGGTGGTGCCGTTTTGGTGCATACAGATGCCAGTGAGAAAAAGTACATAATCGGTGTAAAGAAAGGTTGGCAAAAGATATGAATGCTTGATGAGGTCTAGTTGACTGATGTGTAGGATTTATTTACTCAGCTAATTAACAGCTGGTGGTTGTTATTATTTTTTTCTAATAAAAGGTGACAGTGGTCAGACTTTTTATTTGCAGTGATCTGATTGGTCAGTAATCGCACTGCTGACAAGTTTTGATCTGAACCCCTCAAGCATGTTATCTGTACACCATAGGTTTTTGGTTTACCAGTCAGCTTTGTGATAGGTTAAACCCACTGATAAATGGGTTTAACTAATCTTTTTTTTGTGATAAGGCCCCTCTGTCTTACTGTAAACATTCCATCTGCATTAATGTGTGTAACCTGTGACGGAAATGGAAACACGGTGGATCCAAAATGGGCCAAATATGCCACTGCATATTTCCTGTTCTTATGAATGTGGAACCAGTTCGAGTTTAGTTTTCAATTCAAAGCAGTTTTTTCATGTTCAACCTGAAAATCTACTTGATCTTTTTTTTTTTTTTTACTTTCAGTCCCTTTAGATAAGAAATTGGTGCTGTTTTCATACAAAAATATAAAAAAGGGGTTATGAAACTCGCTCAACACTGTTTTTTTTCCATAAGAGCTCTCAGAGTGTGTGTGTGTGTGTCTGTGTCTGTGTCTGTGGTTGGTTAGAGCATAATGTAGTTACAGTGTCTGATGCAAGACAAAAGCAAAGGTGAAAGTCCGGCTGTGTTCCTGAGCAGACCTCACCTGTCAGCTGCTGCCTGTTGATTCTTCATGTTAAAGGCAGGGCAGGACTCGACTTTCAACCTGAGAGCTGCATTTCTCAGTCTGATCGTCACAGGCTCTTCTGTGTGACTTTACACAAGAAGCTCAAAGCAGAGTCGCTCACTGTGGTTTTCAAGATATGTTGTAGAAAACCAGTGACAATACCAATAAATCATAACTCAATCTGCGAAAGCAGTTTCACCAGCAACAGTAAACATCTATATATGGTTCAATTATACTTAACTGTACCAGTTTAACTGTCATATGTTATAACTAGTTGTTTTGGATAAACATGTAAACACTCCCATCACATGCTCGACACATTTATGTGAACATGGTGTGCATCTTCCTCTTTTTCTTTTCTTATTCTGTCACACCATCATTCATCAGTCAAGCCCAGTGTCTCAGGTCAGCTGACTGTGTGTGTGTGTGTGTGTGTGTGCATGTTAGTAAGTCATTCGATGTCTTACACAAATTACACACTTCTATCACACAGCCTGATTAACTGACACACTGGTGAGCAGCTATTTTTACTGACTGATAGACTGTGACTGGTCAGCAGACTGATGGAGTGACCAGGAAGTTCAGTTCATACAAACTTGCATATGATGCCTGTGTGACATATCCCCTGTCTTTCCTGAATGAATCCATTTTTTCTTTTGAACACACAGTGAAACATAACCCCACAGTTCACACAAATCTACTTTCCTGTGAACCACATCTACAACACCCATACTAATACTGTGGATATCGTACTAATACTGTTGTATTTCAACTGAAACCATTTTCCTTTGCACTTCAGAGGATTAAAGCTCCATGCTCTGCTCCTGTGTTTTATTTGAAGTGTTGATCCATAAGAAGATATATTTATGGTTTTAAGAACCAAAAACCATCTCAGTGTAGTTTTACATCTCCTCTCGCAGGCTTCCCCCTGGAATTCTAGTAACAACAGGCCAGTCAGCCAATCAGAAGAGAGGAGGCTCTGAGCCTCTCTTCTTATCGGCTGAGTGAGGTAATTAAAATACACCAGATTTCAAGTGAACACTTAGAGAAATCAAATCCTGGACGGTTAGATGGTGGGTCCTGGTGGGCGGGGCTTGGGCACGGCTGAGAGCAGTGACTGCTTTTTTGTGACATCACCAAGTTCCAGAAGTCCTGACGGCTGGTTTTAAGGCTCAGTTTCTGAATACAGGCTGTGAGCATTTCTCTGTGGACTGAGGTTTTGATACTTTCACAGTATTACTGTAGAACCTAGACCTGCTCTATAATCAAACTACACATGGACACTTTATACTGTATCATACAGTTGAATCAACTGATCTCTACAACAATTTTAATACAAGCTGAACATTATAACCTTCAGGACGGATGTTTTATTGCAGAACTGTTGCATTACTCAGTATTCGCTAGGTGTTCCTAATAAACTGCCAACTGAGATTCTATAACTGTTAACACTGACAAAAAGGGACCATTCTGTATAATGAGAACTTTAACTTTTAATATGCAAGTATATATTTGTAATGATTCTTCGATAAAATTTTGAATTCAGGAGATTTCATTTGTAGTAGAGCTGTTTTTATATAAGCAAAATAAATATTTGAATACTTATTTCAGCACCGTGCCTATAAACCAGTATGAAAATGTAATGTAGAATTAGTGGTTGTCTGCACAGGCGGTGTTTCAGCTGTGTGCAGTTTTGTGTCTCCCACACACTGGACGCAACAGATGCACTTCTATTTTAATCAATCCAGCTGTCTACACGCGCTGTGAAACAGACTGTGTCTCAGTCACACTGTTTGCATGTAAGTGTGACGGGAGGTCTAGTACCTTTTAAGCTCCTAGTCATATGATCCTCCTTTTGACACGTGTAAGTGCAGTGATTGTATGTTGGTCAAACACCGGTTGACCTGCACTCAACACGTTGCCTGAAAGCATCATGTGTAGATGCAGACGGAGCACTGACGCTGCCGCTCTGTTAATGTGCTGCTTTGACTGCACCCCCTGCACAGACATCCTGTACCATTAATTTGTAATGATGATGATGATGATGGAGCAGGGCAGATACATAATACACTCAGAACAGTGCGACAGCAGCTGTGGACTGAAAGGATGACTCTGCCTCCTCTTCATCTTAGGATTGAGGCTGATGACCTCACAGACACAGGACAGATGTCCCCCCTCAGGCTCACATCACTACCCCCCTCCCCCCTCCCTTATGTGCTGGTTGTTTTTACATGTGTTTAGAGATTTTGCATATTGTTTTGTTTTTATTTTTGCGTGTGTGTGTTTGTACATCTCTGTGTTCTTAGAAGAATCTAGAGATCAGCCAAAGAGCAGACTAATCCTCTCCACTGCAGGTTCATTCAGTCTGTCTGTAATCAGCTGTGGTCAGCATGTGATGATGTAACAGGAGACTCACCATCTTTCTTACTACACTGGAAGTAGGCTTGTAAAGGGAGCCATATTTACTGGTAACCTTGAATGTTTCTCCAACTCAAAATGGTAAAACGCAACACAAATCAATGATGAATAAATGAGTTTTAACTAATTAGTGATTTCCCGTAATGATCAAATGAACAGGGAATGGTCAGATAATAGCATGTGCTGTGGCCAGCTCAAACAAGTAATGGCTTGTGCTACCAATAAATTCCCAACAGCAGATATGTGATATGTGATGTGTGATGTGTATCAGGCGCTAATATGATTGATTCATTTGATTTTATGGGAGTTGACACTGTTTGTTTGTATCTGGTTTTTCTTTCACTTTTCACTGCCACAAATGCATAACACAACAAAAGAGTGCATGGCATGTGTGCAAGGTTAGCATCAGGATTAACCACAATGAAATAATGCATGAATGTGTTTTTCTTGTTCTTCCTACTGTGTCCACATTGTGTGAGAGCAGCATTTGCTGTCTGTTTTACAATAATAGAGCTATGAAGAGTAGTTTTTCCATAACTTCGTACAGGATGGTGCGAGAGCTGCTGTAATGGTGAATACACTCTGTTTTGATCTGTGTTCCTTGTTGCTCGTTGGTGGAGCAGTTACATCCCCCACAAGGACATTCATAGAAATTATTTTATTTTTGCCACAATTATGTTTTTTAATGCACTCGTTGCCGTCATATTTCCTAAACCCTTCTTTTCCCTCCATGTCTCCTGGTGAAGTAATGATTACCTTCATTATTGATTAATCCACATTTAATGAGTCCAAGGTGACATCTTCAAGTCTCTTATTCTGTTTGAACAACAGCCCAAAACCCCAAATATAAAAAAGCAGCAGTTTCTCACATTCAAGAAGCTAAAACCATCAAATCTTTGACATTTAATTCGAGAAACGACTGAACCATCACATATTGACAGATTCTTTTTGCTGTGCTTTCATGTTCTTCTACTTCCTCTAATCTTCATCTGTCGTTACACGTGTTTCATTGCTGCTGACTAGGCCCTGTATGTCTGATAAAGTCAGTTTGTGGTACAGTATTTAAGATTTAACCTCAGTGTAGAAGGAAGTGAACACAGTCAACTTTGTATGACAATGTTGTTGTTTATGAACATTAAACTGAGTTGTCTGAAAATCATCGTTCAACACTGATGTGCTGAAACGAGGATTGAGGCCACATGACTGAGTCCTCCTGTCAGCTGTTGCTTGTCCTGCTTTGCTTTTCAGCCCCGTCTTTCTGTCTGTTGCAGGTATCTTGCAGCATCCAGATGGAACAGTCCTGAAGCAGCTTCAGCCTCCACCAAGAGGTCCACGAGAGATGCAGTTTTACAGCATGGTAACATCTCTCTCTCTCTCGCTCTCGCTCTCTCGCTCTCATAACAATTTTTATTTAATTTTAACACTAAGAGCAGAAGTCATTCAAATTTTTTTTTTTTTTTTTTTTTTCAACCCACTTTTTGGTAGCTTTAATCCAACAACATAGTAATTTTTAGCCATTTTTTGGTAGAGAACATAGCCCAACATGCTGTGCAAACCTATAACCCCACCCTGCTGGGTTAATACACCCCATGGCTGGGTTACTAGAATAGCCCAAATTGGGTTACTTTTAACCCAGCAGTTTTAAGAGTGTATAAAAAAAAAAAAGTTTGATGACGGACTTGTCAAGTAATCAAGTAATCATTTCAGTACTAGCTGACTGTAATTCATTGTTCAGCATCACATTTGCATATTGTTATGTTTTTTAAATTGTGTAACATCATGCTTTGATGCATTGTTACACCTCTGCTCATCATGCTTGTGTAAGGTCCTCACCCTGCAAGGCTGTAAATATGTTTGAGTTTTTGTCTCCGTGGTGAGTCATATACTGACTTGTTAAACTCACATTCCAACACACTTGCTTTGCTTTCACAGCTCATACAGGACAACACACACACTGCATACTGAGCATAGACTGATTATCAGTTTACTAATGTTTGTCTGCTGCTGATATTTGACCTATTGCAGATGATGGATCATGGATCTGTATCGTAGCTTAGTGTGAACAAGTATAAATAATCCAGGACCTGCAGACACATTACGCCTCTGTGTAATATCACTGAAACGTTAAATGATTCAAACATGAGTCATCTCACAATAAATTTATTATCTTTACGTTGAAGTAAGTACACCTGTGATTAAACGCATAAACAGGGTTAGAAAAGAAATGAGCTTCTTCACCTCTGTCCTGGGTTGTGTCTAATGCAATGTGGCTCCACATGAAACAACTGCCTGAACAATAAGAAACCAGGCTGTGGGAGAGGGAACAAGAGCGTCAGCAGGCTACTGACCATGAGCTGAAACACAGCTGCAGCAGTGGTTAGCAGGTCCAGGAAGAGCCGTACTACCAGTAACAGAGGGAGCAGAGGTCGTCCTCGGAGAGCGCTCCTGACATGAGGATTATCTGTGGAGACTGGTGTTTCAGTGATCAGACAGCGAGAAGGACACTGCGTGAAGTCGACCTCTGTTGATGAAGTACAAGAGGAAAACCATAACTCATGAGGTGGCACAAAAGATTGCAGGTTGAACGCTGCCAAAGAACATGAAAAGAGGCCTGATGAATGTTGGCAGCTCATTCTTTGGTCAGATGAACAAAAGATGGATAAACAGAAATAATTCCGTATTAAATGTACTGGATTTGTCATTACTTAACATCTTAGTCACTCAGTCTTGTTGCACAGGATCCTGTGACCTCAGCAGAAAAAGCCAACTACGTAAAACAAATCTCCCTCTGGGACAATAGCCATTATGTGTCTGTCTGGGCAGGTGTAAAGAAGAACGGATGGGTGGAGAAATGTAAATTCCTGATAATCAGTGCAGACATGAGTCGCTCCATACGGCTCTGTCTCATCACACAGAGGAACATGTGTCTGTTGCTCCAGAGCCTCAGTGTTTGCTTTAGAGCTTAGCAGTGCTGTCAGTCTCAGCAACTCTCATACAAACAGGAGTGAGTCATGGCATCATGTCTGCCTGACTCTCTACCACACCAATCAAACTCAGTCCCAGCAACACACACACGCACACTGTTCTAAAATATGTTACTACTGTGACACTGTTTTATTGTATGTACTTATTTTTTTGCTCCATCTGCTTTAGAGTAACAGAACATATTTAACATTATGGGCTGTTCTAACACTGTATGTTGAACCCTCACCATTTAAATAATAAAAAAAAATTTAATTGAAATGATACTGCACATGGCGTGTATTAGTGATGTAATAGATAATAATTGATTAATTGGTTTTATGTGGATCAACTAATCAATCAGCCACAACTTTGGCACTTAGATTCAACAACAATGAAGATAATGTTAGTTGCAGCCTGATGCCAAATAAACCTGTATGTACAGTGTAGTACGATGATGATGATGATGATGATGATGATGTATGTGTGTGTCTCCCAGGTGTATGCAGAGGAGTGCAGTGATCCATGTCTCCTGGAGCTCCAGAACCACCTTCCAAAGTACTACGGGACCTGGTCCTCTCCTGACAGCCCCATTGGTGAGAGACTGTGTGAAGCTGGTTTGACCCTGTTCACATTAACATGCGTCCCAGGTGATCCGATCACAGGTGGTCAGCTCCAAGCTCAGGTGTGAACGCACTCAAGACACATTTGAGATCCGATCACTCAGACCACATTCAGAGGCGGTCTGGACCACACGTGTCCACATTCTTTTAGCAGTGTGAAAGTGAATGTATCGGGGGCCGCATTGGAGGACCAACTACTCCACTGACACAGGTCATAATTAACCAAAATATTTAACTATTTCAAATGGATAAAACTTTATTTCACTGTTAATTAATTCGCTCAACCCCTCTGTGCCCCACGCTCTCTCTCGCTCTGTGTCTCTCTCTCTCTCTGTCTCTCTGTCTCACACACACACACTCACACACACGTTTGTGAGAGCCAATCACAAGTGGTCAATGGAGACGCATGTGGAGACACATTTTAAAGCAGGTGTCAACTGACAAACTTATAGCTGACCACTTGTGATCGGATCACTGAAGACGCATGTTAACACCAGGTCTGAACAGGTCTGAACGGGGCCATTGTTACACTCTCAGACCAGATCTGTGGAGCGTGAGAGGTAGACAGGTTCTTGTCTAAAATACCAAAAAAATCTGATCATATCCAACGATACAATACAAACCATCTTGATCTGTATCACTTTCTTCTCCCAGTTGTGCCGAAGATCCAAACTGAGTGGGACATTTTCCAGTGTAAATCAGCTGCCTCAGCGCTCTCTGGTGGACAAACTCTGTAATGGAGACACTACATGTTTCTAAATTACCTCAGGCCAACTTTAGCCTTTTTGTACTGTAATTTCTCTGTATCTACAATAAGCTAACATGAGACAATTTATTTGAATGCTGATTTGTTGGTCTAGCTCTACTGGTAGTCTCTTTGACTCAGTGCATGCTGGGAAAGGACCAGCCCCCTGCAATTCTCAATGGGAGAAGGGTATAGAAGCCCCAATAGTTTTACCTCAAGGATTGATGGTACTGGTGCAATTTGAATTACAAAAACCAAATATCATGCACTAATGTTATTTACTCTAAATGATTCTTATTATTCCTCTTAATATTATGGGATATTTATATGATACCAGGGACGTTTTTACTGCAAACTGTTGAGTAAGGTCCTCCCACATCTGTTTGTGAATTTCTCCTCTGACATCTCACGATGAAAGAAATAACAGACAAATTAACTTGCAGTCAAATAGTCAAGGAACAGCCTACTTCACATGAAAACATGTTGTTGGCAGCACTGGCAGTAAGTGCAACCTTTAATTCATCACTCCTGTGTCTGTGCCGCTGACTCAGACCTGTACCTGAAGTTGGAGGACGTGACCCGCCGCTTCGTCAAGCCGTGCATCATGGACGTGAAGCTGGGCCAGCGCAGCTACGATCCGTTCGCCTCGCAGGAGAAACGGGAGCAGCAGATCAGAAAGTACCCACTGATGGAGGAGATTGGCTTCCTGGTCCTCGGCATGAGGGTGAGTCTGACCTGTTGTGCCGCTGTGGAAGATCTTTAGTCTACCAATGTCAAGATTTTGAAATGGCGGGGGGGTTTTAAAAAATATATTTCTAGTCCATCAGTCGTGTACATGTAAATAAGCTTTCCATCCCGTTTGATCAGTGCCAAGGGCTGCACTCAGAGATGAGCTGAAATGAAGTCCATCAAAATCTGATCCTGTGTTTACTTACTTAACTTACTTTACTTCTTACTGTAGTAGCCACAGCTGTAATTTCAGTGTGCCACATACATATTTAATCAACAAATATCTGATTGGTGTCAGTATCATCATCATCATCCACCCATTTTCTGTGACTTACCTGCAGTCGGGTCGCTGTGGCAGCAGGTTAAGCTAGGCAGTAGCGAGCTCCTCCTGGGGGATCCTGAGGCGTTCCCAGGCCAGCTTATATCTATAGTCTCTCAGCTGGTTCTGGGGTGTCCTAGCAGTTGGATGTGCTCGGAAAAACCTCCAATGGGAGGCGCCCAGGAGACATCCTGATCAGATGCATCCTGCAGCTAGCGCCTTTTGACGCGGAGGGGCAGCGGCTCTTCTCTGAGCTCCCTCCTTACTCCACCTATAATCTTCCAATGTCCCGCGCCATGAGACTGACCCATGGCCAACCCAGAGACCCCCAGGCCAACGAAGCCTGAAAGGCCTCCTTTATCAGCTTGTACGTATCCACCAGTATGTTGTCTGGTTGTTAAAGACAGAACCCTAAACTATCTATGAACTACTTTACAACATCCTACTGCAGTCAGGATATATAATATCAGATACAGCTTTGTATGCAAAATCTAAACAAAGGTGAGAAGTTGTTGTTAACTTAGTTTTCACTTTGTCACAGTAACATGCCCCCCCCCCCTCTCTAATGTCCTAATGCCTACTTCTAACTAACACACACGCACACAGACATGCGCGCACATACACACACATACACCCACATACACACACATACACACACAGACAGATGACAGGAAAGACAGCGAGAACTTTTTATCTGCTGGAAAGGAAGAGAGTCAAATAGCGAAACCTTTTATCAGTTTGATCAGTTTCCATCACAACCTACAGTCAGTGTCATCGTCACTAAGTGTCCTGGTTTCCTGCTTCAGCAACAAACAAACAAAAAAACAGCCAATCAGATGAGTGAACTGTTTTCTTTCTGTATTTAAAATGAACCATAATTACAGGAGAAAACAGAGGCAGCACTTGATTTAATTAGTTGTGCTGAAGCTTTGTTTGTTTCCACAGGAAAGTAAAGCTCCATTTAAACTCATTATTTTTTACTACTAGAAACCTTCGTCTTCATATTCTGCATGTTGAGTTGTTTAAGCTTGAATTGTTAAAGACTGATTTAGGCAACTAATTAGAATGAAGTAATGTGAAGTAAACTAATTAAACTGAGCTATGTATTTCATCTGTAATTAGCTCAAAATGACAGAATTCATCTTTGGAAACCCAGTTAGTGCCAACATTACAGTGAACCACAGTGTGTAGGACAGTCCAGCCCTAGATGTCCATACTACCAAGCATGTGAATATCCATTTATCCACGGTCACATAACTTGCTATAAGCTTACATAAGAGAGACGGGGAGAGCATTAGTGTCCTCAGGGTGAGGAGGACATGAAAATATGGGAGGGGAAAGGTGTGATTCAGGAGTCAGAGGAGGATATCTTTAATGTATTTGAACCTGTCAGTCCGTGTGCACAGGAGGAAACAGCTTGTCGATTGATTGTTGCTCCTGAAAGACCTGATAGTGTTTTGTTGTGGTGACAAACCCACAGAGGATTATCACAGACTCTGCAGTTCCTCTCTGCTCTGGTTTGGTTTGGTTTGTTCTGTTTGGAGTCTTGTTTTGGTTTTCCAGCCCACAGCTTTACTGTTGTGGTTCAGTCTCAGCAGCAGCAGCAAATGTCAGAAGCAAAGTAGAGGTTTCTGCAACGACTTCATCTACTTCCAAGCTACACGGAGGAAGGAAAAAGTCTAGAGGTCAAAACTCCAGCCACTCTTGCAGTACAACTTTACTGTGAGACGGATGTGTTGACCCTGATGAAGGCCTCAAAGCATCAGTCTAATAATAAATAATAAGGTTGTGCTGTTTACTCCAAGGAGTTGGTGGAGAAACTCAAAGGAGAGTGACTATTAGACTTAAATTCATCATGATAATACTGAGACAATGCTGTGATTTCACTTAGTTCAGCTACAAGAAAATATAAATGTAGCTTTAAATATAAACCTAATAGCACAATGTAAAGATACTTACAAGTAAAAGTACTGCATTCTAAATGTTACTTGAGTAAGAATGATTAAATCCTTTATCTGAGACCTGTGTACAAAAAAAAGACACATAAATTCATTGGGATTAAAATGGACACACACAGATATACATTATACACTTTCATATTTTAATAAAAAGCATGTGCAAGTTTCTCTGATAACTTATAAACCAGACATTCAGGAGGTTTTTTACCAGCAGCTGAATTATCCTCAGAGGTGTCCTCCTCTCCATAACAAACACACCAGGGGATTCAAGCCAGTGGGAATACCCAGAAAGCAGTTTGACTTTAAAAATCTGTGATTCACCAACACTATGTGGCAGACACATGACGCCTCAGAGCTGAGCTGTCTCACATTTCCTCCGCTTTTTTCTCTGATTACTTCAGATCCAGACGTCCCATCACTAAAATCCTTGATCTGGTCTGATAAAAGCCACTTCTTTCTTCTGGCAGGAAACCACAACACTGACACATGCATATAGGGGATATGATGATGTTGACGGGGGAGGCTGTGAACGCTATGAAACAGAGCGTTACCATATTAAAATTACGTATTTGTCTAGGGTTGAGAATTGATGGAAACATTTGTAATAATGTAAGAACACAACTCAACAACATAGAGAACATAGATCTAATGTGGAAAAGTTACAGATTAGAACTTTAAATCCTGACACAGAATCATTGAAAAGTTTGGGCTCTCTTGTACATCCACTTCTGTGGGTTTAAATTATGTTATGAGCACAGTTTTCAGATGCAGAGGTTTTTACAGGCAGCCAGGTGTTTTTAGTGTTGTGTTAACCCAAGCTGCAATTTAACTAGATGCATGAAAAATGGAGACTTCTGTAAAGTTGGACAGTTTTGTGCCTCAGAACGGGAAGTTTAGAACAGGATGTGCCTGTCATTGAGCTGGGAAGATTCCCATACTAATCTCTGCTACGTGTTTGTTTGGATAGAGAGGAGACTAATTAGTGGTAATGATCTTCCTCCTGATGGATTGATAGTGGAGGAAGAGAGAGTTTAAGAAAGACTCAAAGGAAAGATAAAAAGAAGTGATTAAGTGTAGAGCTGAGGAGAGACTCTTCCTGGTCTAAATATAAAACTGAAGCCACTCATACTTTAGAGTTGTTGAAGCAGAGGCGTGAGCCTTGTTCCTCATATGTGGCTTAATGAATCCGGGCTAACCTGCTGTAATCTGGCTGAAAAGATCTCACACAACTGATTTGAGCGCGGTTGACTTATGTTAAACGGTGCGCCCGTATTTTGAAATAAAGGTTGAGGTTTGAAACTGTGATCAGTAATCATATGACTGGCTGAGTGCTGATCATGTGATTGCAGATACCTGAGGTAAGTGTGCTGTACACTTTGATCCCTGTTGAACACATACAGTAGATGTGTGTAGTACATGTGGTTATGCTACAAGTGATGTTGGAATCGGTTCTTCTTTTAGTGTACAAACTTTCATGTTGTTGTGTGTTTTATCATGTGTGAGTATGAGGGCATACCTGCCGACAGTCCTGTATTTCAAGATAATCTCCTGGTGCCTTCCTGTTGTGTTTTTCTCCCAGGAAACTCTAAGTAATCGTCATACACAGATCCATACATTTTGTATACTGACGTTATCCAAGTTTATCTGCTGTCTTCCACCTCAAAAACGTCTCTCGACTCCGGCCATCACTCCCTGACTCTGTAGCTGAGACCCTCATCCACGCTTTCATCACCACCCTTCTGGATTACTGCAATGGCATCCTGTTCGGGGTTCCCAGCAAAACCCTGGACAGGCTCCAGTATGTCCAGAACTCAGCTGCCAGGGTTCACACCCGCACCAAGCCCTGGCAGCACATCACTCCCACCCTCATCCAACTTCACTGGCTTCTGGTCAAAGCCCACATCCAGTACAAAAATCTGTCCCTCACCTACAAATCCCTCCATGAACTCGCACCTCAGCACCTGTCTGACCTCCTCCTGCTGTTTAGCCCGTCCCGCAACCTACGGTGCTCAGACACTGGTCTGCTCTCCACCCCCCCTACACCAGCCTGCGATCTTTTCGGTGACAGAGACCAGAGTATTCAGTGTGGCAGCCCCCACCTTCTGAAACTCTCTCCCGGAAGAGACCTGCACAGCCGCATCTCTGGACATTTTCAAAAAAACTGCTGAAAACCCTCCCGTTCACCACGGCCTCTGGCCTCTAGCTGCCTCATCTCCCACAATCTCCTCCAATCTCCTCCAATCGCTGCCAATCGCTGCCATCCCTATTCTGTCTCATCTTGTTTTCATTTATTTGTTCTTTATTCATTTTGTGTTTCTTTCCAAGTAAAGCAGCCTTGGGTACCTTGAAAGACACTATAAAAATCCAAGTTATTGTTATTATTAATATTATTATTGTTAAGTTGCCAGATCGTGTATGGAACACAAGATAGACACACAATCCACACACATGCCTACAATTTTAACCCATCTAGCAACCCACAACCCGATTCAAGTGGTGTGTGCAGCTGCTCTCTGTGCAGACAGGACATTTCACTGTGGAATTAATTCATTGTTGTTAAATTAACAAGTTAAAAAAAAATTGTTAATTCTATGATCATGTAATGTTTATCTAATGATAAATGTTTATATTCATTGAAGTGATGGAATTTAAATGTAAAAATTCAAATGAACGTTATGTGTTTATTATGTATGTATGTTATGTATTAACTGGACTTTGGCTTTACGGTTCAGCATGGAGCAGGTGTAATGGAGCTTTTATAGTTTGATGTGATGGAGGCAGGTGTGAGTGTAGCTGTGCACCACTAGGTGGAGGAAGAGTCTGAGAGAACCAGCTCTTCAGTCACAGTTATTCCTGGTCGGCACATATCTATCATCACTGACAGAGGATCACAGTAACAGAGAGAGAACTATTTCTGTATGAACTGAATAGCTCTTGTTTATAAACTCTATAAATGGAATGATGCTGTTTGAAGGTTAATCTTAGAAACAGGAGCAGTGCTATTACCTGTCAGCACACGAGTCATGAACAAAACATGGCACGTGTATGTGTGAACAGACAAACAAAAGCAGGGGACAATTATGGGGGAATTATAGGGACACACACACTCTTAACATACTGAATGTTCTTGTGTTCCAGGTATATAAGGTGTGCAGTGACACGTTTGACTCCTACGACCAGCACTATGGAAGAGGACTGGTTAAGGACACTATTCAAGATGGTATGTGTGTGTGTGTGTGTGATTGTGTGTGTGTGTATGTGAACCTTCCATAATAACTCCAAAGTAATTACAGTCATATAGTAGTAGTAGACGAAGTACAGAAAATAACAATTGCAGAAAATAAAGATGCACTGGAACTGAAAGCTGTCCTACTGAATGATAAATATTCCTTCAGACAACATATTATTCATCATGACCATATGGTGTTAGAGGTTACAGTCATTCTAAACAACTTCTTTTTCTCTGTGCCGCAACACATACTTCTATTTTAACTCGGCTTACATTTAAATGTACCAGCATTTTTAAAGCTCCATATCTTCCTCTTCTCCTGTGTTTTATCTGAAGTGTCGATCCATAAGAAGATATATTTGTGATTTTAAGAACCAAAAACTATCTCAGTGTAGTTTTACATCTCCTCTCTCATTCTCTCTGGAGCTCTAGTAACAGCAGGTCAGTTAGCCAATCAGAAGAGAGAAGGTTCTGAGCCTCTCTTTGATTGGCTGACTGAGTGATCCAATAAAAAAATAGCAGATTTCAGGTAAAAACACTCAGAGAAACCAAATCCTGCAAGGCTAGATGGTGGATGCAGGTGGGTGGGGCTTGTGGCGTGCCTAAGAACAGTGACTGCTTTGTTGTGACATCACCAAGTTCCACAAGTCCTGACGGCTGGTTTTAAGGCTCAGTTTCTGAATACAGGCTGTGTGCATTTCTCTGTGGACTGAGGCTTTGATACTTTCACAGTATTAATATAGAACCTAGACCTGATCTATAATCAAACAACACATGGACATCTACCTTTATACTATATGGACCTTTAAGTCAAAAGAAATTTGATGACCAGCGTTTTTCCTAAAGGTTTGTGAGAATAAATGATAGTAAATGATTTTTCCTATTATCTTTTACTTAAGTTACTTTACCTGCCAGTCAAAAAAAAGACTAAAAATTCCTCTCCTCTCTTCTCCTTTTGTTTCCTCTCCTCTCCTCCCCTCCAGGCCTGGCTAAATTCTTCCATAATGGTGTGTGTCTGAGGAAGGATGCAGTGTTGGCCAGTATCCACAGGGTGCAGCAAATCCTCCGCTGGTTTGAATCTCAGCACCAGCTGGCCTTTTACGCCAGCTCGCTCCTCTTCGTCTACGAGGGTCTCCCCTCCTCTTCCTCCTCCTCCTCCTCTCTTTCTTCCCTCCTCAGTACCCCGTCAGTCAGCCCGACTGCTGTGAAAACTACCACGTTGTCATCGGCGGGTGACAGCTGTCAGAGGGGGGAGGGAAAAGCAAGACAGGAAGGGGCGGGCCAGGAAGAGGAGGTGGCGGAGTTCAACAACAACAACATTCAGGTGGTTTTGCCCTGGGACTGCGGCATGACCACCATTTACACCAACCACAGGAAACACGGCCACCACCACTGCGCCAAGGGTCATCTCCATGGCAACAGTGGAGCCGGTGCAGATGTGGAGACGACGGTGAGCTCGGTTTCCAGAGATAACAACTCAGTACTGTGTCAAGAAGACAACTCTGCATGGAAACGAACAGGTGAGTCGCAGCAGCCACCGAACGGAAACGGAAACAAATCACAACTGGAAAGGAAGGCTGAGGAGGGAGAGGGGGAGGACGGCGGCAGGGGGAGGAGAGAGGAGGAGCTCCAGGGACAAGGAGATGATGCCACAGAGGAGGGTGGAAGAGACACAGAGGTAGAGGTCAGGATGATCGACTTTGCCCACGTTTTCCCAAGCGAGAGCCACGATCATGGCTACATCTACGGCCTCAAACACCTGCTGACGGTGCTGGAGCAGATCCTCTGTGAAGCTGCCTAGACCTCTAATTCCTCCCTGCACCCCCCCCCCACCCTCCCAGCCCACCCCACCGACCAACGCCCCTGCCCCACCCCCAAACCTCCTGACCTGCTCAAAGTGAACCACTGTCTCCTCCCCCTCAACCCTCCTCCTTTTTTTTCTCAAAAGACAGACGCCTTCAGAGGAGAGAGGGAAGAATCAAAGAAGTGAATACTGAAGCATCATCATCATCATCAACGTCGTCATCATCGTCATCATCTCACCTGATTGTGATGGTCCGTCAGTCATGTGTGTGTCTGTGTTTGTGCGTGTGTGGAGGTGGTAGAGCTGTGTTCTCCCTGTGATCAGCAGCACTACATGCACTAATCAGTCCATGAAGGCATTAGACCCTGTACTTAAACACAACATCTCCAGCTGCACTATTTACCGATGCTCAGTCCAGCTCCGCGCCGCCTCACCATTTAAATTACATCCTTTTTAAAGTTGTATTTTTCTATAACATTTATAACAGTAACTGTCCTTTTAATACCTCTGGTTGTATCAGACTATTGTGGGGGGTGCTGCAAATTAATATTGGACTTATCAGATTGCCAAATGCAGACTTTCAAATCTCGTCTCAACAGTTTCTCAATTGAATTTCTTGTAAATTTACTTTCATGATATGCTGTATGTCATTATGGCAATATAAAATTACTTATACCGTGATAGAAGATTTCATCTATAACGCCCACATATACCTTTATATAGATTTTGGTAAAACAATCCCAACTCAAGCTTTTGTGAGAGCCATCCACCATAATGTAACTTTTACTGAGCAGAGGCAAAAGCGCCCTCGCTGGTGCATGAGACTCTGTTGAGCTCAAAGTCCGAGCAGTTAAGGGCACAGGATGCAGCGCACCCCTAGAAGCTAACAGCGCATGTACAGAAAACATAGCCAAATCAGTCGCTCAGGCAACAAACACGAAATCGTCGTCTCAGTACAAACCAGGAATCGCACTGTCCACTCATGTCAAGTCAGCATTTGACTTATCTGATGGACCCAAAATCTGAACCCACGGCAGCTGTCTGCTAAAACATATATCTATATATATAGCTAGTCCGCCATGATGTCAAGCTGCTTCTTGTAGCTGGCTGAAGACCCAGTGTACCCACTGTAGTGCCGTAAAACACAGGATCGTTTTTACATCTGACATGTTAGCAGCAAGCTAAGGATTGGAAATGGATCTGGCTCTATATATCTGATATAATCCTTTCAAAAATTAATGGATCGGACTCACTCCTGATCCCGTGGATTGGCTCCCTATCTTAAAGGATGAAGTTTGCTCGGTTGTTATGGAAATAGAGCTGTGAACTGTTAGACGTAGCACAGTTTAACTTCATTCAGCTACAGCATTCAAAACATTTTCCCTTATCCACATCCTGGACATCCACAGTGGTTAACTGGATTTGCTTCGTTTAGGGTAACATGCATATATTAAATTACAAAATGGGAAGCAGACGTCCCTGTTATTGTTCTCTGTTGAAACCAGTAAACAGTTAAACAGTTAAAGTAGTGTTGAGAGTGGCGTGTTGAGGTGAGCTGACGCAGATTTGCTGTAAGTTTGTGAGCATCGGGTAAAACGAGAACGTCTGGAGAGTGTTGAGGTTTGAGTCAGGTTGTCATTTTGTGTTTTTGTTTAAACCACTGTCTACAGGTTTCTAACTCAGGTAAATTTACTGTAAGAAAAAATTGTTTAATATTACTACTATTGTCCTACAAGATGATCCTCATGCTGTCTGGTTGTTCAGCTCTAAAATGATTGTTTTATATAGTCTTATCTCATGATTCACCTTATCTCATCAGTGTTGACCTTGACTCATGTTTGACCTCTTAATCTTACGACGACCTTACACACATTGTATTGTCTTTTACCATGGCTATTTTATTTGTTGTTGTACATGTCCGGCTGCTAAATCACCTCTTCTTTCTGAAGCCTGTGCTCTTTGCTGTGCTATTTGCTGTGGACTTCAGTGCCATTAGTCTAACATTAACCACAAGTTGCTTTGTGATTTTCAACTTATTGTGATGTAATGAATTGATTTTTAACAAAGCAACAAAGATATTTTGTTTAGTGCAGATGGGCAGAAATGTCAGAGTACTGGTTCCCAGTGAAGCAGGAGTCAACACATGTAATTTTACACTAATTAATGTCAGGTGGAGCCAACAGCTTCACTGGTTAATTTTGCTTTTTTTTAATTCTATATTTGGTAGGGATTGATTGACCGATGCAGGGGATATTTAGGTTTATATTAAGACCTGTGCTCTCCATTTAAACCAGTGTAATTCCTGTAGCTGTGGTAGATTTCTGGAAGCTCAAAGTCGCCTTGGTTGCGATAGTTTTTGGTTGTCTTGTCGAAAGATAACACAACAATTCGTGACTGAATGATCTCCTTCTCTCTAGAAAACAAATCGAGCTCAGTTTGACCATCATCAAATTCCAGAGATTTCAGCCACATACCATGGCCTTCATCAGCAGATTGTAGAACCCAGTTAGTCGACCTTATGGCACGATTTTTTTGTGAATTTTATTTCTCAAATTCTATGAAGTTGTGCAAATATTAAGATTTTTATCTTGAGTTAAATGTGTCGTGGTCACAATGAGGAAACAAGCCTGGATAGACTGTAAAGTATAAGCCTGACATAAGAGACGAGGCAGGATTACCAATGCAGCTCCAGACTCCCAGGGGCCCCGGGCAGGTTCACTGTCTGGTTTGTAGTAATTTCAAGTCCAAATATGTTTGGGAATATGCACCTTTTTAAAGCACAATAGAAAGGTAAAGTCGTAGACTGAAGCTCTCAGTGCGGGTTTTACAGATGTTGACCTCTGTATTAGTCTGACTCTACTTCCCAGTGTGATGACAGCAAATGAAATGTGATGAGTCTCAGCTCTCTGTCTTCACACACGATGACAGCTCAGTGTAGGAGAGTCAGCTGTGTGTTTTTTAAGATGGAGATACTTTTTATTTTATCGTCCTTAATGCTTAGCAGATGCCTCGGAGCCGCTGTCTGGTCTTAAGGTCTCTGTGCAGGTTTACTGACTCCACCCTCTGCTCTCCACACTAACAATGGAGCTGCTTTAAAAATGTAATGCTAAATCTCACTGCCAAAGTACGCCACAAACACTTTGATTTTAACCAGTAATATGCACAGGCCTCTTCAGCTTGTAATATATGAATATAATGAACAATATGAAAACTCTCATGTTTAGTAAATGAACTTGATTAGATGTATTATGATTTTAATCTGAAGCTAAAGAGACTGCGAACTATTAGAATATATTTTCTCTATCGTTGTTTCTTTTTAATAAACTAGATCATTTCTTTGAAATAATCAATGTGAAAGTTTAGGAGTCTTAAGGGACATTTACACGAGTTATAGGAGAATTGATTATTTTTATTTAAATTTTTTTTTTTTTTATCACTGCCTTATTTTCTGTTCATGTCTCCATGTTGTCTCTGTGTTTGAAATATTGATTATTGATCATTCTGGCAGCTTTGTGAATCTCCTCTCTGTCTTTCTAGCCTGTTGTTTTATGGCTAATTAACAAAAAGCATATCATGCATTTGCAAACAGGGCATTGTTGATTTGAATTGGTTTGATTGTTAACTGAGTCACAATGATGCAACTTTTGACTTAAACTCCCTTCAGTCAGTGTAAAAATCCACCGATGTTACTGAGGCAGATACACTGAATGTTCACAAGATTTACAAGCAGCTAAATTTCACTCTTTTGAAATAGAAGCTGAGCTGATTTTTCCTTTTTTAAAGGACCACAAACCGGTTTTTACATGATGATCCCACTTATGACCTATCATTCCTTCTTTACATTACAGCCAATCAGCTGACGTCTTTCAGACAGCCACTGGTTTCCATTTCACATTATGTCACTCTTTACTGGTTTACGGGCATTTTTAAGCGCAGACTGATTTGAAAATTTCTGAAAGAGCAAACCTGAATACACATATGGAAAGATAAGAAAGATGAAAACAGACGGGATGCTCAGTATGGAGCCAGCAGTTGGCCTCTGGAGTATTTATAGGCTTTTACAGTGTTATACTTATGTACTAATGAACTTTAGAACGATCAATTAAAAAAAGATAGAGATAGAGTAATAACATTTACATTTAAATGGTGCGAAATAAAACTCAAAGAAAAACGTAATTCAAAGATTTGCCTGTTGATAGCTCTGTTGCTTTATTCTGCCTTTTAAATTACTTTATAATTATTGGAATTTAAAAGGAAATTGCAACATGAATTTTAAATTAGATTATGTTATTCCATATAACCTTTATTTTATACCACTTAAAATGAAATGAAACCCATTGAGCAGCAAGGAGAGCTCTCATATTGGGCGGGGGTCATTGCAGATATCTGACCAATCAGGGGTCCTGCTGCCGCTCAGTGGGTTTACATAATGTCCTCTCTTGGTGGCACATGCATCTGTTAAATTCAGTGCTGACATGGAGACTGTAAATGGAAACAAATGCATTCTGGGATGGAATGTGGTAGACACAAAATAAATGTAAAAAAGTCCAATTTAATTATTTTATTTTGTAATTCCAATTAATAGTTGAACTTATGGTTTCAACACTTTCAGTTTTCAAATACGTAATCAAATCAAATTAAACACTGTAAAGCTCTGTAATTATTCCAGTGCACAGTCTTGGTTCAGTGTGATAATACCTCTAAAGTACCTTTTAAGTCTGCATGTTGATTTTCAAACCACAGTGAAATGGAGACAAATGGCTGCCAAGACGGTAGAAGACAAAATACAGTACTTAAATAAAGTATATGCAGTTTGTGGTAAATGGGTTAAAACATGCAGAAATACTAATATAGTCTTTAGACCTTCATTGACATGAATGCTGACCACTCTTAAATTTAATATTTGAAGCCAAGTAAAACAAGAGTTGTGCAGAATGTGGATGCTGCATGTTTGGAAGTTAGGGCTGATGTTTCTGTACAGTCAGTGAAGAGTCTGGATCTGGACCTGGAGAATACCGA